GTTCTTTTCCAGCCGTCCTGGAAAAGAGGAAAAATAAAACGTGTGAGTGCATGTCAAAAATACACTCGTACTTGCGTAAGGACACAAGATGAGCGGAAAAAAATAAACTGATACACTTACAAACAGCGTAAAAGCGATCGGAAAAAAGGTTTTTTTTTCAATATATTAATATATATATATATACGCTCAAAAAAAAATAATAAAAATGTTTTGTTTTTTTTTTATAAATAAAAAAAAATGAGCATATTAAAAAAATTTATAATAAACAATGAAAGGGTAATTCAAGATAAAGCTTATGTCCTACGTGCAATATTCGTTAAGATGTTCTGGAAATCTTACTCGTCTTCCAGAACGCGTTGTTTTAGGTTTTTCTATCAACGTTGACGAAGTATCAAGTTGTGTGTCGGTTGTCGTGTAGGGTACTACGAGTGTAGTAGCTGTGTCGTTTGCTTGTACCGAAGGAAAATCGACGTAGCTAGGGTTTCCTTCTAGGTACGCAGCTTTGAGTCGATCGATACTGATGCTATCTTTCGTACCGTTCTTATCAACTACATAGTACTTAGGTTCGCGTTGAAGAACTTTGAAGGGTCCTTCGTATGCTGATTCGAGGGGTCGTCGATGTGAGTCTCGACGAACGAAGACGTGTGTACTATGTCGTAATTCGGGTTGAACGAAAACATCAGTTGATTGAGGTCGAGTGTGAGCAGGTTTAACTGAACGCATAGCGTTTGTAAGCCTACTCGTGTAAGAGTTTAGATCCATGTTCAATGAAGAAGCTGAAGGATCCACGAATTCTCCTGGGAGTCGGAGTGTCGTTCCGTAAACGAGTTGAGATGCCGTGTATCCAATGTCAGCTTTCACTGCATTGCGGATACCTAGCAAGACGAGTGGAAGAGCGTCTGTCCACTGTGAAACGTTTGAAGCTGATAATGAAGCTTTTAATTGTCGATGAAAACGTTCTACCAACCCGTTTGCTTGTGGGTGGTAGGCGGTCGTTCGGAAGCGCGTGATTCCTAAAAGTGTGGTCAGACAACGGAAAAGTCCAGATTCGAACTGGCGTCCGCGGTCTGTAGTGATGGTTGAAGGGCAGCCGAAATTTGCTACCCATCGTTCGACGAAAGTGCGAGCCACTGTTTCAGCAGTAATGTCCTTAATCGGTACTGCTTCTGGCCATCGAGTAAAACGGTCTACGCATGTTAGGAGATATGAGTATCCGTTCGAGTCGGGTAAGGGTCCTACCAAATCTAGATGGACGTGGTCGAAACGAGCGTCAGGGGTTTTGAAAGAACCTAAGGGACATTTGTTGTGTCTGATTACCTTAGATTTCTGACAGCTTACACAGGAGCGTGACCACTCCCTCACGTCTTTATTCATGCCAGGCCAACAAAAGCGTTCGGCTATAAGTTCGATTGTTGCACGAGCACCTGGATGAGAAAGATTGTGCAACGTATTGAAGACGTTGCGGCGATAGTGTTTTGGTACAATTGGACGATCCCTACCTGTAGATGTGTCACAGAGTAAGGTTTCCTTACCTGTTCCCATCTGCCTAATACTTAGTTTAAGAGTTGTCGAGGATAACTCATGCTGAAGATCAATGTCTTCTTTTTGAAGCTGAGCGAGTTTAAGAAGGTCGATTCCTTGGAAACTGTTCAAGGAGCTAATTCGAGACAAGGCGTCTGCGACTACATTGTTTGCTCCAGAAATATGTTGTATGTCTGAAGTAAACTGCGAAATGTAGTCGAGTTGTCGAGACTCTCGCGGTGAGTACTTGTCTGAAGATGAATTTAAAGAGAAGGTAAGAGGTTTGTGATCGGTAAAAAGCGTGAATTTTCTTCCTTCGATGGAATGTTGAAAATGCCGTACAGCACAATACATAGCTAGGAGTTCCCTACCGAACGTGCTGTACCTAGATTCAGCGTCTAGCAACCGTCTCGAGAAAAATCCTAAAGGTTGCCACGAGTTGTTAACCCATTGTTGTAAGACTGCTCCGATTGCTGAGTCGGATGCGTCTACGGCGATACTAATGGGCGCTTGACTGTCCTGATGAGCAAGCAAGGTTGCTTTAGCGATGTGTTCCTTAACTGTGGAAAATGCTTTACGGGCTGTGTCGTCTAAACTAATTGATTTCGCATTTCCACGAAGCTGATCGGTCAACGGTTTCATTAGGGATGCGCATTTAGGTATGAACCGTCTATAAAAACTTACGAGTCCGTTAAAAGTTCGCAACTGCTTGATCGTGGTCGGTTCTGGGTAATCCAGAATGGCCGCCACTTTGCTCCTAAGGGGTCGGATGCCTTGGGCATCAATGGTGTGTCCTAAGAAGTCTAAGCAGTTAGTTCCGATTTGGCATTTCTGAATGTTGACAGTAATGCCATGCCTTTGAAGTCGATCGAAAACAATGTCCAGATGCTTGAGATGCGATTCTCTGTCCGGACTTGCTATTAGACAGTCATCAACATACGCATGTACGAAGTTGAGACCTCGGAAGACGTCGTCTATAAACCTTTGGAAGGTTTGAGCCGCGTTTCTTAAACCAAAAGGCATTCGTAGAAATTCGTAAAGACCGAAGGGAGTGATGATGGCGGTTTTAGGAATGTCGTCAGTTGCCATCGGGATTTGGTTATAAGCTTTAACCAAGTCGATTTTCGAAAAGACAGTTGTACCTTTCAAGGTAGCTGTCAAATCGTGAATATGAGGCAGCGGGTAACGATCGGGAATGGTTTTAGCATTCAGACGCCGATAATCACCAGTTGGCCGCCAATCATTGCTGTCCTTTTTAGGGACCATATGCAATGGGGATGCCCATGGACTATTCGATGGTCGAATTATTCCTAGGTCCATCATGTGGTTGAATTCGTTTTTAGCTAACCTAAGCTTTTCGGGAGCGAGTCTTCGGGCTTTCGAAAATACAGGTGGTCCTGTAGTCGAGATGTGATGTGTAACATTGCTGGTTACACAAGGTAATTTCGATTGCGATTGGTATATCCCGGGGTATTTGTCGAGTACTGCTTGGTACAAGGGGTCTATGGCGTGCTTAATCGTGACTGGGGATAACCTGCAACCAGAACAAGGAGTTACGCAAACGGACAACTTAGTGTTTCCGTCAATTAACCTTCGTGCGCGTGTGTCGATGAGTAGATTGTGGTGTTGTAACAGGTCAATACCAATGATTGGCATAGAGACATCTGCAACCACGAAAATCCAGTGTATGGGTTTACGTAAACCCACGTTAAGGTAGACGTACCTTTTACCGTAAGTAGCGATCGGCTTTCCGTTTGCCGCCTGTAAACTTAAAACAGACTCGCGAAGTCTGTCGTCGAGATTTGCTGGAAGAACGCTAACTTCTGCGCCAGTGTCGACGAGGTAGCGAACTTTCGTAGTCACATCCGTGACATATAAGAGGCGGCTGTGTTCGCCGGCTACGGTTGCCGTTAACGCGTGCCGGCTGGGAAGTTTCCCGAACTGTTTTTCGTGTCAGTCGATTTTGAAGTCGGATAATTGCAAGGTTTCCTGCAATTTCTGGAAAACTTACCGTACTGGTTATGATACCAGCACCAGTCGGGATTGTCTGTCTCTCGTGGTCGAGAGCCAGATCTCTTACGTGAGACGCTTCTACGCGGGGTTTTTGACCGACTACGGTCATTGCGAACTCTAAGATATCGTGTAAGCGTGTGACATAGTTCGGCCATGTCAGTCGAGGTCGATTGGGGTTTTTCTTTGACGGAAAAAACCTCGGCCTTAGAAGATCTAGTGATTTCCAAGATTCGATCGGCAGATGCAGCTAGTTCATCTATGGCATTGTTTTGAAATGAAACAAGCACTGCCTGCACCTGTTGAGGGAGTTTAGACAAGAAAAGTTGTCTAAATAGGCCATCATCGAAAGTTCGTTGGCCGATGACTTCTCTCATTCTAAGCAACATGTCCGTCGCAGAACCATGTTGCAAGTCGATATTGTTAAGGAGTTGGTCTAACCGTTGTCGATCAGTTAGGTCTCCTCGTTTTAAAATCGATAGCTTAAGCGATTCGTAAGGTTCGGAAACATCACTAGTAAACATACTAGGTGTTACGTACCTGTTAAACTCGCGCGGTAACGCCTTAACTACTGCGAGGAAACGTGTGCGCGAGTCCGTGATTCCGTGCATGCAAAAATCGGCTTCTGCATAGCAGAACCAGGACTCGATATTGTCGGGCCAAAATGGCGTTAACTGAATCGAAATAGGGGGAATAGACTTGAACTTAAGAACCTTAGGAGAGTGTTCCGTCATAGTAATATAGATATCGAAAAATGTCTAAGTAAAATATATCCGAGAAAAAAAAATTCGCGAAAAAAGTATATCACAATATATAAAATTCAAATAAAGAATAACAATGAATAATAATGTTCCAAAATGGAACAGACTCACAGTATATTGACTTGGTGTACCAGATCACGTCGGGTTCACCAATGATGATGCAACGGATATTCTAGTTTTACAACTAGATACCAGTAGCACCTTCTAAATTCGGTTGTTACCAGTCAGATAGAAAATCAGAAGTCAAACGAGAAGAGGCAGGAAAGATATATTTGATTCGTTACCAATATATCGAGGACCTTTTCTATGAGCTGGCTAATGAAACGTAGGAGCTGTGTCCCACGCAGTATTGAAACGTGATCTGGTGCGGATGCATGACCGAAAGCCTTCAGCTAAACAAGTCCACTTAAACAACGTGGTCAGCATCCAATGTCGAACACTTAATGAGCTATTGATTTTGGGGAATTATTTACAGCTACAGTGGTGAGGTCTTCCTTGGTCATATGGTTTTGTCCTGCAGCCATTATACTGACAGATGTAGTCCAGTCCTATTATTTAGGAACGCCGGGCCTTGATTTCACATCATCCACCCAGTAAATCATTCCATTATGGAGTCGTTTGAATTGACCTAACATTGGAAAATCGAAATAAAGCGCGGCTACTTGACAGGCCGGTTTTCAAATCTCGGGGACACGCTCTTGTCGTAACATGTCTCTGGACATTGGGTTGTTTTCGGTTTTGGAAAAAAGTCTTTCCCTAGGTAAGATTAGATGTATAATGGAAATTATCATTCTCTAAATCTCTTAGAAAAGTCAGAGCTCGAAGCAGCTCAGCACTTTCTGGAGGAAGCAGCCAAAGTAGACCTTTTTGGTTTGCTCAGACAGCTCAGTGATGTTTTGGTTAACGTTGAGTGCTCTCCTCCTGTACGTATGCAAGCTGGCATCCAGCTAAAAAATGCCCTGTACTCTAAAGACCCGGCGCTCAAAACACTTTATCAACAACGGTGGTTACAGGCTCCAGTTGATTTGAGGGAGTATATAAAAAAAAACGTACGTCCTCACATTATTTATGCCCTCCCTCCAGTGTCTTGCCGCCTTAGGAACGGAGACTACGACACATAGTTCCGCTGCACAATGTGTGGCTTACATCGCATGTGCAGAAATTCCTGCCCTTCAGTGGCCAGATTTGATGGAGCGATTAGTAGAAAACGTTATCACACCAAACAAATCAGAGGCATGCAAGCGTTCAACATTAGAAGGAATAGGATATATTTGCCAAGATATAGTAAGACCAGTGTATTTGTATAGTTCCGACAGGATCCCTGTATTTTAGCTAGCCAGTCAAACGCTATTTTAACTGCTATAGTTTGCGGTATGAAAAAAGAAGAACCAAGGTATGCAGATTTTGGCTCCATAACTCTTGTTTCAGTGATAGCGTACGTCTAGCAGCGACAAATGCACTTCTGAATTCTTTGGAGTTTACAAAACACAATTTCGATGTTGATGTAATTTGATGCTTGATTATTTAATTTCATCTTAGAACGAGCGAAACTACATTATGCAAGTTGTTTGCGAGTCGACTCAGTCGCCGAATGCTCAAATCCGTGTTGCAGCTCTTCAGTGTTTAGTGAAAATAATGTCTCTCTACTATAGTTATATGGAGCCGTATATGAAACAAGCTTTATTTGCCGTAAGTTACTGTTTATAAGTGAACTAAGGACCATGACCCATATTTCTGACTAATATTCGTAATAAAGACGAAGGTTGAATTCTTACTTATGCAATCCGTATTCGTTTAATTGCACCTAACTACAGTGTATATAAGATTCAAAAGCCTAAAGTCATAAGCAAGTTTAATGCGATTGCATAAACAACAAAAGCAGTCTACTATCACCTACGTCCACTCACAAAGTTAACTATATATTTTTCCGAAACAGGTCCTCAATAATAAGGATAGCCGGTTTTTGTACCTGTCTTAACCCTTGCAGCTTGTTTTCCAGTAAAAGTCCAGCTTTCCCTAAACTGCTTTTAGTGGTGTATGATGCATTTTGTGCTTATTGCTGTTTCACTTTCCAGACCAACTTGTATTTATATTTGGAACATCGGTTTGTGTATTGCTTTGCATTTGTCATACTGATCCCACAAGTTTACAGGCTGTAGTTATGTTTACTTTGTACTCACCTAGTTTCGTTTTTAATCAAGTTGTGTCCGCAAAGCAGTAATGATTCCCTTATTTGTGTGATTGTCTGTTAAATGTCTCATTGGTTTGTGCGATACAAAAAGTAGGACCAATTCATAAAAACGTATACAATAGTAAGAACTGGATATATTTTCCGTGCTTGCCACTAGTTCAAGGAATATAGCTGATCCTATATTGAATGATCAGCTTATCATCTGTTTCTATCCACTCTTGTTGGCATATATTCTCTCGGCTTTGTTCTTCTATTACATATGTTCACGTAAGTTAAATTTACATATTCCATTAATAAGTTCCACCCATCGTATAGTTGATTTAGTAAACTCAGTCTCATGTACTTATCACTAAACTATGTTAGGGCTAGTGATACTTATTGGCTGCCCGAGCAAAAGTTTATCAAAGCTCAAATCTGATACTTATTGGTTAGAAGTCAAAGGTCTCAACCAATCAGTCACAATCCCGTTAGTTTTAAAATAATTATAAAGCTAGAGTTCAGCTCGTGTTTAATTATGGTTTATGTGTACTTTATGTTAACTGATAGACTTAATGATGGTGAAGCTATTCTCTTAACGTAACAAAGTAATTTAGTTAGTATTTCTATCTTTCGGAAAGGGAAATGTTAATCCTCGGTACATCAAAAATTGTGTTCGTAATCACTGTCTTCTGATGTTAGCATTTGCTATTTTCGTATACAGTATATCTCTCAAAGTAATATTTAAATTTAGGGAATTATTCACGTTATAAACCGTTAATCAATCACCTAAATTTTCAACTCTCAAACACGCTAAAATATAAGTAGTGTTTTAAACTCCAACTCAGTTGCAGAGATTCGTTAAAGATTAAACACTTGAAGACTTATCTTGTGACTACTACTTAACGGGTTAGAACTTCACTATCTCCTGCTGTTTAGTCAGTGTAATGTAGTTAGGTTCAAAGCCCTGGTGGTGCGTTCGAGCTCAGGATATGGTTGGATAACAAATTTGCTATAATTCCCTAGTTTCCTTAAACATGTTTATGGACATAAGTGGTAGTTTTGTTATCGAGAATATACCGTTTTAGGTTAGTTTTAAACTTGGTTCCACATGTTTTAATTTCGAATTTATTTCACTTGATGCATCTACTTCCATAACAATCATCCCATCACCTTTTTCTAAAATGTCTTCAACATTGCCAGATCACGTTGGGGGCTATGAAGGATTCTGTACCGGAAGTCGCCCTTCAGGGAATCGAGTTCTGGTCTACAGTTTGTGATGAAGAGATCGACTTAGCTATTGACGTTGCCGAGTGCTTTGAGAAAGGTCAACCTCCAGCGGTTTCTAGCATGTTTTATGCCAAGGGAGCCTTGCAGTTTATCGTACCCATTTTGATGGAAATTCTTGCCCAGCAGGATGAATCAATGGATGACGACGAATGGAATCCAAGTAAAGCCTCTGGTGTGTGTTTAATGCTACTGGCACAGTGTTGCGAAGATCCGATTGTCAATCTTGTCATACCATTTGTCAAGGAGAATATCAAGAAACCCGACTGGCGCTACAGAGATGCTGCCGTCATGAGCTTTGGCAGTATTCTTGAAGGTCCAGATCCTGCAGCACTCAAGGTCCTTTTTTTTAACATAGTTTCTCAATTCAGATTGATTTACTTGAAATTTTTTAAAGCATCATTTACAGATCCTTTATATTTCAACTCCACTGTAGTCATTACCTAGTTTAATTTGGTTGAGACTTGTAGCAGATCAATTTACCTTAGTTTGTACGTTGAAACCTTTAAAAATATACTTAAAAATAAGTAATGATAAGTTTTTAACCTTTCAGCTCACCACTATATATCATTAAACGACGGATTGTCTCATATAATAGCCCCAATGTACTGTTCTCATCCCCAACAACGAACGCCAAAATAGGATAATTGAAAATTTAGCTTGTCCACTTGTTACGTTTCCGTATTCAACTTGTTATGCATAAAATTCAACTATTAAGATTCCACTAATCACTTTGTGTTCATGGTGTTGTTAAGTACTTTGAACTAGATGGTTCGGTTGTGAAACTTTCGTTGTCATTCTAGACAACATCGGAAGTGTTTACTTCAAGTAGAAATGAGCTTCTTAGTTATTCAATGAGTCTCAAATTAGTTTGTTTCGATGGCTTTAGTTGTGATTGGTTATTCTCGTGTGCTTTGTTTGACTTCAGGTGTCTATTTTGTTCGGGTGACCTTTAGCCAAGTTAATGCCTGACCCTTTTTCGAATGAGTTTTTAGATTAGGTTTGAATCGATATGTCCAATTGCTAATTCATCGGAATGTCATGGTTTCGAAAAACTCTGACACGATCTAGACTTTCAACTTTCTCCCAGTCAATTTCATCTCCATAGTTGTCTGTACTGATGGTTCGTGTTTGTGTATGAGTAGATGAAAAGAATGTCTACTTTATGCAGTGAATTGTTCCCGGTTGTTAATTTATTTTGTAAATGTTATTGAAGTTATTTTTCGTTGTTGTATCTCTTGGTTTGTGTAAAAGAGTGGAATTATTGCATTGGTTAGTAAACGATATTAAGTCCAAAGGGCTTTACATACGGAAGGATTATCCTTTTCCTAATTTCCAGGGCTGATTTTGTGATGTTGAGTCGTTATTCATTTAAACATAAATATTGGTACAAGATACATATGTGCCACATAAATCTCATTTGATTTTTGTGAGGGCTGTGATACTGCCTAGGTGCTCAAACAGAAGCAGGTGGTTTTCTTAGGGGGCTACACCCGGGGCATTTGACCTAAAGGTCTTACACACAAGGCAGTGGAGCATCGTGAGGAGATGCATTCCCATGGTAGTCGGCGACCAACGATTGATTCATACGCCATTTGTTCCCTCAAGATACTGGAGCCCATGTGCACCATTGGTTTGGAATCAGGGTTTTCCAACTCCCCTGGGTGGACTTTCCGTGTCCACGAACCCGGTTAAAGTGCCGGACATTCGCTTTCCGTCCTCTTAATTTCGTGAACAATACCTGTGGCACAAGAAGGCAGTGAGTATGACTTTCCTGGCAGAGGCTATATACGTGTGGCCATGTAAGAGCATTTCGAGAGGAAGAGCGGACTCTCCGCCGTACCAGGGCAATTGGGGGCAATGTTTTCAGTGAGTTGATATCTCGCAGCAAATCTGGTTGAACTCCACTGGTTACTGCTTCTCACTAGAACTTCAGGAAATACCTCATTGAGCCAGTTACTAGTGATCATGTATAAGTTATATATGTTGTATAAGTTCTCTATAAGATCATTTCAGTCAAATTGTCAGATTAATTACTGGGTTGTAGTAGTAACAGTAGTAGTAGTAGTAGTATTAGTAGCATGTGCACGATTGGTTTGGAATCAGGATTTTCCAACTCCCCTAGGTGGACTTTCCGTGTCCACCAAGATGGTGAGTCTGGCCGCCAGACACTAATAAAGTTTCTAGGGTAAACAGGGAACGTAAACACGCTACAGCGCGTCTCGTCTCTCTAAAAGTGCATAATGTAGTTCACCACGTAACATATCTACTCTGATATTGTGGTCTATTCTGTCGTCAGTGTATATTATGTGCTGCTCTGTTATGTGGATCCAGTAAATCCTCAAGTGTTCAGAACTTTGTATGAAATCTACGTCAGTCAATGGGTATTTATTTCTCCGTATTAATGAAAACAAACTCGCCAATCTTGTTAATGATTAGTCTCTATACATGTTATACTTCTGTTGGTTGTAGATATTTTTCATGTGTTCCTCTTTAAGAAACCTATGATATCATAACTAACCATCAAGCAGTTTGGTTATAAAATATCTCTTGATATTAACTGTTGTTAAGTGACTCGGTTTCTCGTCAGAAAGTTGTAAGCTCAAATCCTTTTGTATTAGGAAATGGTGTCTTATGGCCGACATAAAAAAACATCCGTATTAAAAATGATTTACGTGTATTTTACTTCCTTGACAATAATTAATCGAGGATTTTCGATTTTTTTGTTAGCCCCTAGTAGAGTCTGCTATGCCTGTAATAATCGAATTGTTGCGTGATGAGTCACCAGCTGTTCGCGATACAGTTGCGTGGACTATCGGACGTGTTTGTGAAACCCTTCCAGAAGTTGCTCTGCACGAAGCATATTTGGTTCCTTTGTTAACCGGATTAGTTGAGGGATTGTCCACTGAACCAAGAGTCGCCGCTAACGTTTGTTGGGCATTTTCTAGTCTGGCTGAAAGTGCTTATGATGCCGCCTCAGGTAGAAATTTTCTTTAATCAACTTAGTTTCAAATCATCTTCATGTAACTGTAAGATATAATAATATTCTAAATGTACTCACACAGTTTGTGACGTGAACATAAGGCACAAAACTTCATTAATTGACTTTGAAATACTGCATGACATATTTATTAAATTTTCAGATATCCAGATAAATTCAAATACATAGGAGTCTTACTGTTAGTTCTAGAGACAAAAGATTTATGTTTCAATTATCGCGTATATGCTTATATTTCATTGTTTAAGGCCTTGTAGCTTTTGTCGGAAATGCTTCTCATGTTTTCATGAAGAATTAAAATACACTGCTTTAAACCTGAGCTCCTTGAATTGTTCGAATATCCGCTGTACTAAACTGGTGTGGAAACCCCAACTCATATATTTGACCAGGCTCTGCGTTGCATATGTCAAACTGACAAACATCATTCAGTTATTCGAAGTTCACCGAATACCAAGATTTCTGTGCATAATATCGTAATGCCCGCGTATTTTTGTGCAACCAATTTTCCATTATTTTAGATCTGTTTATTGATTAACGGTCATCTATCCTCAATGTTTATTAATACTTCAAAAGCTATCAGGATTTTAAATTTTTAACGCTCTTGGTTAATTTTGGAAACAGTAAGTAAGCGTAACATTGTAGATCATTTGCTTAACTTTTGTCTTGCTAATTAAGGGAAAATTTTAAATCAGTGGTTTAAACACTGGTTCAGATCATCTTTGCTCGGTTTTAGTTGAGTCTTTAGATAGTAATACTACCTAAAACGCACAGATTGAATTGGAATCTCGTGCTGCTGTCAGTTTTCTTAAAGTGACAATTCATTTTAGGTAACATTTTTGCGAATGACTTAATTTAATCCATCGAATACTTGTGCAACGTGTTGCAAATAACCTCATTCTGTAATTAATAATTAGTTGTCACTCATATAGCCCAACTTCCCGGAAAATATCAGTCCAATCAAAACGCTTGATTAAACTAACAAGTTTTAAATATATTTTCATATTTATTTCATCATTTGGTTCTTTCAGAAAATTCCGGTCATAATGGGGAACCGAGGACCTATATACTATCTCAATACTTTAATGTGATCACAGAACGTCTACTAGCAACTTCCAGTCGACCAGATGGTGGACAGCATAATCTTCGTAATGCAGCGTACTCAGCCTTGATGGCGCTTATGCGGTCTGCTGCACAAGATTGTTATTGTGAAGTACAACGTGTAACACTGATTGTTCTTGAACGGTTAGAGTCAATCATAGGTTTGGAAAATCAAATTGTTTCACATCAAGACAGAGCACAATTTAACGACCTACAGTCACTTTTATGTGGCACTTTACAATCTGTTTTGAGAAAGATAAGTAAAGAGGATGCACCCGCAATATCAGACAAAGTAAGTTTTCATTCATTAGTTCCAACAGTTCGCACGTTTTTTTCTTTTGCCAAGTCATACATATATTACAGTCGAGTATTTAAATTATTCTTCAGTTTTAGGTAAAGTAAGACAACCAGGATGTGTATGCCAGTATACCTAGAGGAATTCTACAAAGATCAAAGTGGTCAAAATAATAGTATCAGTGGTATTAAAAGTAAACTACGCATAGGAAGCACAGTTCTCAAGGTACTAAAAAGCTAATATCTGAAAAAAAGCAAAATAGTGAAAAGTCAGAATATACTGCAAGTTTTAGCATGGATACATTCGCATAAATGCGATCACTTCTGATCTGTAACTGTAGGGATTCTGGAAAGAAGGTATACGCCTCTCAGTTCCTGATATAAAAATATATGTGAAGTAGAGATTTCCATATTTCAATATTACTTTTCTTATATTCACTTTTCTCTTGGACTAGCTCTTAATCCATATGACTATAAATTACTTGTGTTTGTGCTATGTTTTCATATTCTTAGTCTTTACAAGTATAACAGCATTTTTTTAATCCTGTCGAATTGTTTTTTGTCAAGGTAATGTTAGCCCTCATGTCCATGTTCCGAACTACTACTACACCGGTTACTGAAGGCTCTGGCGACCAATCTGTAGTCAACGGCGAAACAGATAAGACTAAATTCAGTGATGGTGTGCAGGAAGATGCATTACTTGCAGTATCTGCGCTTGTTGAAGCTGTTGGAGAGTCATTTGTCAAATATGTGAATGATTTCATGCCAATTTTGGTCATTTGTTTACGAAACCATAGAGAAACACAAGTTTGTATGAATGCAGTTGGACTGTTAGGAGATATGTGTCGTGTTTTGAACAAGAACTTACTCCCACACTGTGATGGTCTTATCACTATTCTGATGGAAATTTTACAAGTACGTTATGATTTCTGTCAAATATCGAATAATCTAATCTTTTATTTTCGATAATGGATTTTGTATATGTACGATATATATTTCTTTACAAAACATAATATCATATACTTCCTCCAATCCATGTGTTGGTTAACTTTCTTATTTATCAGAAAGGTTTTAAGAACTCTGTGAGTGATGATAATCATAGATAGGTCAAATGTTGATATCAGGTGGTTATTCATGGATGCTTACTTTGACGTTACATTTCTCTCAACCGTTGCTTCTACCTTGACGTGGTGGTCGGGCTTGCCTATCGTGATGAAGCAATCGAGCTATGCTGGCTGGAACAATCGTTCCTTGAGGTCCTACCATGCCAGACAGGTCGGTTGAAGAGCGGTAAGACTAAAAGCAGCAATCCTAAGGTCCGAAGGCGAAGTCGTACTGCCGACTGTACAGAGGTGTGACGGCAATAAGGTGTTTCCTTCAGACAACCAGCATGACAGCGATGCTGCCTTCCCACAAGGAGGGGTGGGTTTAGAAAAGGTCGACCCTAAAAATGCACACCTCGCCTTATCCCACGGATTTCCGTCTCCGGCGGTAAGGTCCTTTGAAGAACGGAGCTAACACAAAAAGGCCGTGCGTGACCGGCCTGAAGCAGATGTCCCTTGGGCAGTGCGGTCACGCTCCCAGGTCGTTAAGACCAACACTAATCCAACTTCTTTTTCAGGTCCCTCAAGAAATACCCTTCTACGGTGTGGGCAGCCGGGAAGTGATAAATGCCCTCATACCCGTAACAGCACACAAGACCAAGTTGGTCACTTTCAAATCCTTCCTACACCTAACAACTCTCTTATCTCCACGACTAACCCTTCCCACGTCCTTTTATCACCTCGCACCGCTAGGGCAAACGATTCGTGTACACGGAACGTTAATCCTGGTCTCCTGAAACCACGCTCTAAACTACATGTAGGAACTTTTAATGTCCGAACATTATGCCAAATAGGACGACAGGCTTCCTTAGCTAAGACTCTAGAATCGATGTATGCTGCGTCTCCGAAACGCACATACAAGATCCGAGTAGTGTCATTCATTTGACCGCACCTAATCAAAATAAAGAACCATCTCGATACACGCCTCGTGTATCTGGAAGCCCTGATGCTGCTTCCCGTGGCCTCGCTGGAGTAGGTATAGCATTAAGTCGTAGGGCAGAACTAGCTCTTTTAGACTGGATCCCAGTAGACAGTCGTCTATGCGCTGTCCGACTAAACGGATCAGTAAGGACTCGGAAAGATAGGGAAACTCGTCGTTGTCTCTTCGTCATCTCTGCCTACTCTCCCACTGACTGTAGCTCAGACGATATAAAAGATGAGTTTTACAGGAAACTTTCTGACCTCCGCAAAGCTAGGTGTTCTGATGTAGTAATAGTTGCTGGTGACTTTAATGCTCAAGTAGGTAAACTAAGTGAAAGTAAAAGACACCTGGGTGGATCTTATGATGTCGTGGCTAAAAGAACAGATAATGGCGACCGTCTGTTGCAGCTGTGCTCAGATAACCGCCTATTTCTTGCAAATACTAACTTTAAGCATAAGGAAAAACTGTTATGACTTTACCTAGCTGTCGCCAATTTGTTATGTTTTTGACCTAGGCGGTAGCCAATTGTTATGACTTGATCAAGGTCGTCGCTGATTCGTTATGACCTTACGAATTTAACCAAATGAGGCTGGAAGCGTAGGAGACAATAATCAATAAAATTGAGTATAACATAGGGACAGTAAATCATATAGTAATAATCAATAGGCCAAGATAAAGCTTAGATAATCTAGTTACCGAATAGTTATACAATAAGAATGATAGTCCAATAGTAGGTCCTGCAAGTTACCCGTACTTATGTCTTCGCTACTACATAACAAAAACATCTTTTGACATGGCGACCCCCGAATTCGTCCCAACGTTGGACCCAATTATTTCACATCGCTATCAGCCACCGATGGAGAGGCTCGATAGAAGACTGTCGCTCATTCTGGAGCACATGTTTAGATTCAGATCATGCTCTAGTGTGAGCACGTATCTGTCTGCGACTTACTGGACTTAGGAAAGACACTGCAGGGAAGCCTCTAAGGGTTCTACTTAATGATAAGCAAGCTAAGAATATATTTCAGGAACAACTGGAAAAACAGTTAGACAGACATGTAAGTTGTGTCCACCCCGAGGCAGCGTGGAATGACATCCGAAAAGCTGTGGAAACAGCTGTGATATCTGCTAGTAAGGTAAGCCATAAGGTCAGGGAGAAACAATGGGTCTCAGCAGCATCTATCGCACTGATAGATGCTCGTAAACTCATCCCTCCTGGCTCTGAACATAACGAAGAGCGGAGTCAGCTTAAGCGAAGGCTAATAAGAAGCCTACGCAATGATCGTGAACAGTGGTGGGTAGCGAAAGCAAGAGAGATGGAAAAGGTAGCGGCAATAGGTAACAGCAGACAGCTGTTCAGACTTATTAAAGAAACCGGCATTAGGAACCCAACTATTAGCGAAACTATCTCAGACAAAGACGGGCATATCATTCATTCTCAATCCAGGAGATTGGATCGATGGGCAGAACACTTAAGGGATCAGTTCAACTGGCCTTCAGCCACACTTCAGTTACCCACGATCCGCAGTCGTCCTGAATTGCGAATTGATGTAAGTCCTCCAACTCTCTACGAGGTTGAAAAAGCTATAGGAAATCTGAAGCGAGGGAGAGCAGCAGGCCCTGACAAGTTTACCCCTGAGATTTTTAAGGATGGTGGTCCAGTACTAGCAACGAGATTGACTGAGGTTTTAGGTAGAATCTGGGAACTGGACGTAATTCCATCTGACTGGCCCCAATCACTGATTGTGCCAGTCTATAAGAAAGGACAAAAGTCCTCCTGTGACAATCACAGAGGAATCAGTTTGACTAATATAGTGTCTAAAATATTAGCTTCAATAATACTTGGACGCCTAACGAAAGCTCGTGAAGAGCAGACTAGAGAAAGCCAGGCTGGTTTTCGACCTGGACGTGGTTGCATAGACCAGATATTCACTCTACGTCAGGTCCTAGAACATAGACATACATTCAGACGTCCCACAATAGTAGTATTTCTTGACCTTAAGGCAGCATTTGACTCCGTTGATCGTGAGGTTCTATGGCAATGTTTGTCACTGAAAGGAGTACCAAAGAAGTACATTAACCTCATAAAGGCTCTCTACTCGAACACAACTGGTCGTTTTAGAGCCTATGGCGAACTGTCATCAGAATTGGTTACCTCAAGTGGTGTTCGTCAGGGCTGTCCACTCTCCCCATTCTTGTTCAACTTTGTCGTTGACATGCTTTTAGAGGTATCACTTTCATCATCTCAATCTCCTGGGGTTGAACTTTTACCGGGAGGCTTACTTATTGACTTAGAATACGCCGACGACATAGTTTTACTCGGTGAAGACACTGACAAAATGCAGAGTCTTCTGACCACCATAAGCAACAATGCAGGCATGTTCGGGATGCGATTCTCTCCCTCGAAGTGCAAAATGTTACTTCAGGATTGGGTTGCATCGACACCTAAACTAATGATAGTGAGTGAAGTAGTAGACCACTTCACTTATCTTGGGAGTCTCATCAGCCCTTGTGGTCTGGTGTGTGACGAAATCTCAGCACGGATACAGAAGGCTCGTCTAGCTTTCGCCAACTTGCGCCATTTATGGCGTAGGCGAGATATCCGTCTAGCAACCAAAGGACGGGTTTACTGTGCAACAGTCCGTTCCGTCCTACTTTATGGAAGTGAAACATAGCCGATAAGAGTAGAGGATATTCGTAGGCTACTAGTGTTCGATCATAGGTGTCTTCGACGCATTGCTCGTATATCCTGGGACCACCGGGTAAGTAATGCAGATGTTAGGAAACGGGTACTAGGTAATGATGGCAAATCGATTGATAAAGTAGTGAAACCTCACCAGTTGAGATGGCTGGGACATGTGTTACGTATGCCCGACCACCGACTGCCCCGACGTGCAATGTTTTATGGTGTAGGAGCAGGTTGGAAGAAAGCTAGGGGTGGCCAGACCAAAACGTGGCACAAATCAATAAAGTCACTGACAAGTGAACTGGGCCATGTTGGTAGGTGTAGACTACCTGGTTGGGATTCGCGAGTTGATAGCAACCGATGGTTAGAGACCTTGAATGACATGGCTCAAAATCGTTTGCAGTGGCGAAGTTGCATCCACTCTTTGTGTTCTACCAAAGTCTAATCTGAATTCTCCGTGTCTCTATCTTTTTTCTCTTTCCAAATTTATTTCATTGTATTATACTCCTTCAATAACATCTTCAAACCCTAATCTTTCCGATTACTGCTTATACTCCTACTACTTCTACCACTATAGGATTTGAATCGACAACTTCATCTCTGTGCTAATGTGGTATGGCAACTCAAACTGATGTACGTGCGTACGAAGTTCTACGTTGTAACTGACTGACTGACGTTACATTTCATATCCATTTCTGTCTGAAGTCCTCTTCGTCGAATAAGATCATCTATTCTCATTAGCACACATATGAAACCTCAAGTTTATCGTCTTTGTGGGGGGCGATCATCAGAAACTCAAAAACCAAGGTTTCTTGCTGGTTGACACTTGCTAATTGAGTCTTCAACCTATAAGAACAGAGATTACAACCGACATCAACAAGTATCATGATTAGAAATGCTATCATTCAGCCACTCAAGTTGCGACCAACCGCATGAAGAACTGAACTGTTTACGCGTTTATTGGGAATTAACCAATGTTATATTGTCTGACTTTAACTTCTGACCGAACGATCAATAAAATTGGCGCTCTATTTATATCCTGCTCTACAGACACTGTAGTAAGCATTTAGAAGTGGTCGAGAACGTGTATTTGGGTAGCTGTGTAAGTGCTTATAGCGACATGAGTGATCAACTCACTTATAGTAAGATTCAGAGTGGTATATGCCAATCTGGGCCATGTTTGGCGCCCTTATAATGTTAGTGTGGCTATATAATGTCGGATCTACAACGCGTCGGTGAGAACATGTCTAACTCTATATTTGTGAAACCTGGCCTCCGAGTTGAAGACGTGGTGGAGAGGTGGTCATTTTATGACATGTTATTCAGGAAAGTAGTATAGTACTGGCACCTGTCTGTTCATCACAGCTCTTTGGTTGGCATCCGAGAGGCAGTATAACTCAGTGGCTTCAAACTTTATCCAACATAGCCTGGAACAGAAATTAGTTGATTTTTTTCTGTTACATTATTCGTTAATGTAAAATAAACTTCTTTAACTGAAGGAATTTTAAATTGTCTCGTTTGTATCAACTGGACTGTTCCTTCTATTATAGATTGTTACTGTTAATTATTTTATTTATTGTTTTATCACTGTGGGGTTGCGCCAATTGTTGAATTTCATTTAAATCATAAACCACTCTACATTAGACTAATATTAAAAACCTGGAAGCAGTAGATGACCGTTTCATCCTAGTATATACTCACTAGTGACTGGCTTCAAAAAAGGTAAGTTTCCGGAGTTTTAGTGAGAAGCCGTTACCAGTGTAGGTAAATAACGTAGGACGTAAGACAGCTACTGAAAACAATTAAAGGTAAACGCTCAACATCGTTGATTGATTGAGGTGAAGCGTTTGCGCGCGAAAGCAAAGGTCCTGGGTTCGAGTTTCGCGTGCCATATCGTTGATACATATTGATGAGGAGTCCCATACTTAAACGAAACAGCCATCCAGTGCTTACAGTATATTATTTTGTCTTTATTGTCTGCAAGCGTACTACCTTTGTTAGCCATATTATGAGGCGCATCTTTTAGTGATATTTACCTTATTTTACGTACTTAAAATAAAAAATCTTTTGTTATTGCTACTACAGGGTCATATGATAACCTCTCAAACCAATCTGGCGTATATAAGTTTCATAATAATAATGAGTTTCTGTTACATATGTATGTTAAGTGGTTTTAATAATGAATTAATTTAATTGCCCTGACTATGTTCTTGTCACGTATCGCTGCTTCTCACTTTACAATAAGTTTAAATCATTGGATTCAAGTGTGTAGTTTAACGTATTTGTTAACGCTGATTTTCAATTAATACTAATAGTAATTACTATTACTAAATATTGACAAATTTTTAAACAGTTCAATTTGCATTCACTTAGTACTGTTTATTTGAATCTTCCCATTGATGTTTTTAGGACTGCAACTGGTCAGTCTCTAATTGACATATGTACATACTGTGGCGGATTGCCTCAATATAGCCTTATTTCACAAGCATTGTAAGCAAAGATGGACTCAGTAGCTGAGTGGATAACGCGATGGCGTTTGAAGCGAACGATACTGGGTTTGAGTTCCAGAGTGAACATCAACTCTAAGATGCAGGTACATCCAACTTACGAGTTCCAAATAGAACGAAACTCGCGTCCTGGATTCCAATGCCAGCCACTACTATCCATCTTTGCTTACAGTTTAACATTATTCATTTATGATATTATCCTCGGTATTAAGTACTTGGAAACAATACTGTTTGATTATTGAATATAGTTTCCATATGAACTAAAACCATTTGTGGTTGCTGATAAGATACGTTTTTTATATTAAAAAAAACTAGATGTATGACGTTATTCGGTTGACAATCAAATGATCAAAAATAGTTTCAATTCTCATGATTTGTTTAATAGTTTTAATTAACGTTTCACTTATATTTCCTTATATATATATATATATATATATATATATATATATATATATATATATATATATATATCATACTTATATTGTATATCTTTATTGTAGGATATAAATGCGCACAAATCTCTTCGTCCTGCTATTTTATCTACTTTTGGTGATCTATCTTTAGCTTTGGGTTCAGAGTTTTGGAAATATCTTCCTATTGTTTTGGAAACATTAAGTCAAGCTACACAAGCTGAAGTTAATTTAGTATGTTCTATTTGAAAGTTTGTATACTTAACTTTTTTATTATGAAATAGTTTATATGATACGTCTTGTTGATTGAACGCTATACTCGAATCATAAACTAGTTTCGTAACCTCCAAGCTAAAACTACACAGAGACTTGAACACGAGAGAAAAGGCACAAAATATGCGGGAAGCACTTTACTCCAAAGGTTCCCTTATGTACAGAGAATATAGTGTTTTTAATAGTATTTTAGAAGTCCTTGGGTTTTCCTGAAAATTCTAGAATATTACGAAACATAGTAACAGTATAGTAATCAGAAACTCTACATGTGACTTTTCATTTTCGTTATGTTTCTGGCAAAACTTTTAATCAAACGCTGATTGAATAAAATGCTTCTTAATGTTTCCTGAGCTTGTCATGTCTATTGAGAGAAATTTGCAGGATCATCCCAACAATATATTCTGTAGTTGTTTCCTTATTGTATTCTAAAAGCATATGTCATTAGTTAATACCATTGATTTTGTGGTTATAAGACATTCAACTTTCAAATTGTTAGATCGTAAATATGAACTGCATTTTGTCTACTTTCATTTAGTTAGTTTGTTAATATCGGTTGGTTTACACAATGTCTCAAAGCTCAGTATAGATTCTTATGCCTTGTGCATGGCATTATCATTGTGAATCAGTTGTAACTGTATATATGTGTTTTTGAGATTTTATTTAAATAATCCGACAGGAAATTGCATGTCATACCTTTTGGTAGTTATATTATTATTAATTAAACACATAAATATTGGTACAAAGGGGTACCAGATATATATGCGCCACACAAATCTCATTTGATTTGTGCGAAGGCTGTGATACTGTCCAGGTGCCCAGACTGAAGCAGGTGATTTTCTTAGGAGGTCACACCCGGAGCCTTCGACCTAAAGATCTGATCCACAAGACAGTGGAGCATCGTAAGGAGATGCAGTCTCATGGTAGCCGGTGATCAACGGTTTATTCCTACGCCATTTGTTCCCTCAAGATACTGAAGCCCATGTGCACCAATGGTTTTGAATCAGGGTTTTCCAACTCCCCTAGTTGGATTTCCATGTCCACCAACTCGGTTAAAGCGCCGAACATTCGCTTTTCATCTTCCCAATTTCGTAAACAACACCTGTGACACGAGAAGGCAGTGAGTATGACTTTCCTGGCAGAGGCTATATACGCGTGGTCATGTAAGAGCATTTCGAGAGGAAGAGCAGACTCTCCCCACTGTCGGTCGTACCAGGGCATTTGGGGGCACCTTTTGGTAGTAATAAAATCGTATATTTGTGATGTCACAATGAGTAGAGTTGATGTTTCGTAAGCTCGTGTAAGTCGGTTGTCTGGAGAATGCTAATGTTATACTATTATCATAAGTTATCAACCCCCCCCCAAATGCCTGGTACGGTCGAGAGTGGGGAGAGTCCATTCTCCCTCTCGAAATGCTATCACATGGCCAGCGGATATACAGCCTCTGCCAGGGAAGTTCTACTCACTGACTTCTCGTGGCACCGGTGTTGTTTACGAAAGTGAGAGGACGAAAAGCGAATGTCCGACGCGTTAACCGGGTTCGTGGACACGGAGGGTCCACCTAGGGAAGTTGGAAAACCCTGATTCCAAACCAATGGTGCACATGGGCTCCAGTATCCTGATGGAACGAATGGCGAATGAACCTGCTGTTGGTCGCCGACTACCACGGGACTGTATCTCCTCATGATGCTCCACTGTCTTGTGGATCAGACCTTTAAGTCAAAGGCCCCGGGTGTAGCCCCCTAAGAAAACAACCTGCTTCGGTTTGGGCACTCGGGCAGTATCACAGCCCACACACAAATAAATGAAATGATGAATTCTATTGACGATACTATTCCCGCTCATACTAGAAGCAAGACAATTTACACTATTATTATTACTACTATTATTTACTACGTCGCTTTTTCACTCCCTTTATTCCGAAATTGTGTATTTTTCCTTTCCAACTTATGCAGTAGCTCGTCCATGGTGGAAAATCTGTCCTATCTAAACGATCTCCAGTCACTGTCTGGTTGAAAGTGAATGCTTCCACGGATTACGAATACTGAAGCAGTCTTTCTGAAACCACGTACGCCGTTCAAGCTGGCTTCCTTCAACGTTCGCACACTAATGCAGATCGGACAACAAATGGGGCTGGCTATGTCTTAATGTTGATGTTTACTGTCTATCCGAGACCCGTACTCAAGACTCTAGTGAAGTACTACAAATTCGCTCTCCATCTGTCGCTTCGAAAAGCTTGTTTCACGTGTGCTTATCCGGGGACTCTGTGGCATCTTCGTCTGGTCTTGCAGGCGTTGGTGTTGCACTAAGCGCTAAGGCTGAGGCAGCACTAATCGATTGGATCCCCATTAACAGTCGGTTATGTGCTGTTAGATTAGAAGGTGAGAAAAAACTGGCGTGAGAAACGATGTCTTTTCGTCATCTGCAACTGTGCACAGACCACAACCTGTTTCTGACCAGCACTAACTTCCGGCACAGTCATCGCCGGTGTGCCACCTGGCGTCCTCCCTCTGCATCCCAAGCCTGGACTCAGATTGATCACATCGCGATCAGCTACCGCTGGCGTGGTTGTGTACAAGACTGCCGCTCCTTTTGGAGTACCTATCTGGAGTCTGATCATGCCCTGGTCTGCGCCAATCTCACCTTACTTTTCAGTGGCCGAAGGATTGACCACCACCAACGGATCGATGTTTGTAAACTGACTGCAACATCTGTTGCAAGTAAGTATCGAGCGGAGCTAGCTTCTAGGCTAGCTACCGTCCCACCGAAAAGTATAGATGAGCATTGGTTGCATCTTCACGACGCCATGAAAATGGCGAGTAAGGCCGCTTGTGGCTTCGCGAAACGTCCCGCTTACAAGCACTGGGTTTCTTCTGGCTCCTTACAACTGATGGAAGCCAAAGTGGCTTATGCCAATCTGGGACATCTTAAGCGCCTTCGTGATGTTAGTCTGGCTGTAAAAGGTCGGATTTACAACGCGTCGGTGAGAGCAGTTTTGCTCTATGCTTGTGAAACCTGGCCTCTCTGAGTTGAGGATGTTAGACGTCTCTCTGTTGTTCGATCATCGTTGTCTCCGAAGGATTGCTGACATCCAATGGCAACACCATGTTAGTAATGCAGAGGTTCGGCATCGTGTGTTCTGGCACAGAGACGATAATTCAATTGGTGTCACCATCTTGAAACACTGACTTCGGTGGCTCGGACATGTTTTACGAATGTCGTCCCAGAGACTTCCACGTCGTGCATTATTTGCCGACCCTGGGACTGGTTGGAAAAAGCGGAGAGGAAGTCAGTGTATGACATGGTGTCGTGGCATGACAGAAAGTTGCAAAGGGCTAGCTTCTGTTGGTCCTTCTCGACTCCCTGGTTGGGGTCCGAGAGATGGTGCAACACAGTGGCTAGAGACGTTATCAGATATGGCTCAGAATAGAAGCCAGTGGCGAACCTGCTGTAACCTTCTTTTACTTTCTGCATAAAGAGTGGTTCTAACTTTCCTAACTGAAAGAGTTTTCTGGTTGTACATTTCAGTCCGCTTTATCTTTTCATCCCTTCTCTTCCTACTTTCATTATTTTGTGTGGCGCATATGTATCTGGTGCCCTTTTGTACCAATATATATGTGCTTAAATAAATAATCAACCCGATACTCAATTTGTTTAAAATTATCAGGTTTAACGTTGACTTGTGTATGAATGCATTGAATATTTTCATTTATATCATATGTTCATTACTTCTCAATGAATTGTACATTTTACTACTTTAGGAGGATCCTGATATGGTTGAATATCTTAATTCGTTGCGTACTAGTTGTTTAGAGGCTTATACTGGTATTATCCAAGGTTTAAAGGGAGATGGACCACGTAAGTTGTTTACACATGATGCTAAATTGTTTCCAGAAAATTTTTTGGTGGATAGTAGATGATATTTCTTTAATGGGTTTTTAATTTATATCTCATTTTTAGAATCTACCGCAGCTTTGGAGTTTGTTGCTGGTCATGTATCTCATATATTGTCATTTATCCAACATATTGGAGCAGATTCAATCACAACTGAAGATCTTATATCTGCTTCATGTGGACTGATCGGGTAAGTCAACTTTGTTGTACATTATACGGTGTGTTTAGGTAAGGACTGTCGTTTTCAAAACGTAGTTCAAATATTATCACCTATAATGTTCCGTAGAGTTGTATCTTTTTGACACGTGAACTTATTTATTTGACCATTTAACACAATTTAATGAATGGGATTTCTTTAGGCTGTTACACTTTAATTCATAACTATTCACGAATGACAAACTTATGACGTCAAGTACATTATCCTGGATACAATTAATTAGTGCTTTATGTCACCTATGAAAGGGAGTGGAAACAGCAGATAATCAGATTTTTTAAAAGAACAAATTCGTTAGAGTAGTAACTATTCTTGTTGCCAAAGCTTGAAAAAAAGCTTAATAAATTGAATACTTTTTGATGTATGTTTGTTCTCTGAGCTGGATGGTTTGATCGTGGAGCTTTCATTGTCCTTTTGAACGACATCATCAGCACAAACTTCGGGTAGAAGTGAAGTGTTTGAATTTCTCCACATGTGATTCATAGTTTGTCCTGTACACCTCGATGTTCACTTCTACCCGAAGTTTGTGCTGATGATGTCGTTCAGAAGAAGGATGAATGCTCCACGACCAAACCATCCAACTCAGAACAAACCTACATCTTTTTTTACTTCACTAAGAATATTTACAAACAGTACCTTAAACCTTATCTATCCAACAAAAATTATTTAGAATATGTTTTTATTGCATTGAGGTAAACTGATAATGCCAATCTGATAATATAGCTCATTATATCGTTACAATATTATCCATTAAAGGATTTGTCCAGCTGTCTCTGAAATACAGTGTTCGTTTTTTTCAAAATACGTTTTATACTTAAATGCTGTATATCCTATATTTATTTTATTGTGCCATACGAAACAGATACACAATTTTGATTACTTTGTTTAGGTATACAATAAATAAATCTAGTATCTAACGTATTTCATGGCAATTAAGAAAACTATATTATCGGTTCAAGGCGTAGATAGTCACAGTTCCAGTAAAGTATAACAGACAGTCGTTTGGGCATTGCCTGTTTGTGGTCTGTATGCGCACCCACTAAAGTTTCTACTTACCTTTGAAAAGCTAAACGATCGAATATAGTTATAACACATGATAGTCAATTGGGTAGTTTAAACCAAAATTAATGACTCATAGGTAGGTCTTAAAGTATCCCAGATCAGTAAACGGATAACGATGACTCAGTCAGTCAGCTACAATGTAAGACCAGAAACATATATGCATCGTTCGAAGTTGCCATACCTCGTTAGCACAACAAGATGAACACCGGATTCATAGAAGTAGTTAATTTAGTGGTGGTGCTAGTATATAAAAGATAGGTTGTATTTTAGCATATAGTATGGGAAGAAAGATATGAAGTAGTTTAAACCTCAAGGTTTAAGGGAAGATAAAGAGTGTATACACCTACGCCATTGTGATCGATTCTGAGCCATGTCACACAGAGTCTCCAACCACTACTGGTTACGACTATAGTTGCGTGGACTCCAGCCAAGTAGTCTGGATCTACCAACGTGGCTCAGACTAGAAGTTAGTAAATTCAAGCACTGATGCCATGTTTTATTTTGGCCTCCTAAGGTGATCCCAGCAGATGTGTGCAATATTTCTAAGGCATCTATGGTCAAATACTAGTAACTTAAGAGCATCTTCTACTCCTGTCCCCGAATGCCCTGGTACGGCCGAAAGTGGGGAGAGTCCGCTCTCCCTCTCCAAATACTCTCACATGGCTACGCGAATATATAGCCTCTGCCACAGAAGTCATACTCACTGACTTCTCGTAGCACCGGTGTTGTTTACGAAAGTGAGAGGACGAAAAGCGAATGTCCGGCGCGTTAACCGGGTTGGTGAACACGGAGGGTCCACCTAGGGGAGTTGGAAAACCCTGATTCCAAACCAATGTTCACATGGGCTCCAGTATCCTGATGGAACGAATGGCGAATGAACCTGCTGTTGGTCACCGGCTACCATGGGACTGTATCTCCTCACGATGCTCCACTGTCTTGCGGATCAGACATTTAAGTCAAAGGCTCCGGGTGTGGCCTCCTAAGAAAACCACTTGCTTCGGTTTGGGCACCCGGGCCCTCGAGCAAATCGAATGAGATTTGTATGGTGCATATGTATCTGGTGCCACTTTGTACAAATATTTATGTGTTCAAATAAAATAATGAAAAATAAAATCTACTCTTAATGGTCACGTTTCTCAGCCGTAAAGTAGAACATAGCGAAGTGCTGCGCAGTATACTCGTCCCTTAATTGATAGACGGATATCTCGTCTTCTCCGTAGGTGACGTAATTTAGCAAAAGCCAAACGAGCTTTATGAATCCGTGCTGAGATTTCGTCAAACACCAACTCATTAGAGCTGTTCAGACTTCCAAGATAAGTAAAGTTGTCGACGCGTTCGACTACTTCAATTCTTAGTTCAGGTGTCAGTGTAGGCCAGTCCTGAAGCAACAATTTTCATTTAAAGAGGGAGAAAGGCATCTCAAACATCCTCGCATTGTTACTAAGTTCTAACAGAAGACTGCATTTTATCAGCGTCTTCGTCAAACTTGACTATGTCATCTGCGTATTCTAAGTCGATAAGTGGACCTCCTGGTAGATCAATTCGTGAAAATTCAGTCGAGGAGAGTGTTATTTCCAGCAATAGGTCTATGATGAAGTCAAACAAAAATGGGGATAGTGGACAGCCTTGCGGGACACCACTTAAGGTTGTAAAATCAGAGGACAGCTCGCCATAAGCTCTCACTCACCTGTTAGTGTTCGAGTGAAGAACCTTCACAAGGTTTATGTACTTCTGAAGTACACCTTTCAATGACAGACACTGCCACACAGTCTCTCGGTCTACAGAGTCAAATTCTACTGTCAAGTCAAGAAAAACTATCATTGTCGGACGCCGATAAGTATGTCTGTGCTCTAAAACTTGATGAATAGTAAATATGTAGTCGATACAGCCACGACCATCTCTGAAGCCAGCATGATTTTTTTGTGGTTGCAGTTCACGAGTCTTAGGCGCTCGTTAATTATTGAGGCTAGTATTTTAGATGCTATGTTAGTCATACTAATCCCTCTGTGGTTATTATAGGATGATATTGAATGGTGACTGCCTGCTACAAATATACTCAGACGATCGTTTAACTTTAGCAAACACCAACTCCAAGTATAATAAGCGACATCTAACACAGTGCTTTCCAAAATCAGCTGAACGATAAACCCAAATAGAACACCTTGTTATCAGCCATCGTTAGAGAGGTTTAATAAAAGACAAATTCTCAAGCATATGTTGATACTAACTCTGCTCTAATCTTTTTCTGTGTCTTTTTGAACGCAGAAAAAACACTGCAGGAAGACCCCGTAGAGTTCAGCTGAACGATGACAAATTCCATTATATTTCAGAAATAACTAGGAAAACAGCCAGTCAATCATGAAGTCGATGTAGGTTGGCGTGATATTTAGACAGCTGTTATATTTGTTAATGACTTCAAAAAAAAGAAACGTCAGTGAATTTCGTTGACTTTTATTCAATTGGTCGATGCAATTATATACTAACATGTTATCCTTCTAATAATCAACGTTTTATACGTTCTATTAACTCCAATTGTTTTTTTTGTTTAGTCTTCGATAGTGTCAAAGTTCACTAACTTATTGTTTTCAAGTTTTTAGTATATTAAGATCTGATATGTATGTGTTCGTATAATAAGTACTTCATTATGCTACCAGATTTTTAGTCAGCTACAACGTAGAACCAGGCACACATATGCATCGATCCAAATTGCCATACCTCGTTAGCACAACAAGATGAACACTGGATTCATAGAAATAATTAATTGAGTAATTGTTTAATCTTCCAATAAATGAATTTCATCTTTCAACCATGAATATGATTTTATTCTTGTAATATAAATCCACATAAGCTAGATCTCTGAAAGCATATATCATTCTATTTTATTATAATAAAGTCTATTTGTCTTGAATAATTTTGTATAGATTATGAACCATTAAATCATTCAAATATCTTTTAGTCTCTCATTCACTGAATTCACTAAATAAAAAAGCTGAACTCTACAGGTAAGTAAGCAGTTTAATATTAGATGAAACAATCTATATATGGAGAAGCATAAACTTCACTAATAATCTACTTAGGAGTCCCATAATAAGACGAAACGTCCGTCCATTGCTTTCAGGTTTTCCATGGTGGTCTAGCTTCAATTAACTCATGATTTCAACTATGAAATAACTAAATTCTCCACAAAACCCCGTCTTATAATGATCATTATATTAGGAATGATTATCATTTCGGGTAATTCTCTAATGTTTATTTTCATTCCAATCCATGTTATATATGTTATTCATTTCTTTAGTGATCTTGTATCGGCTTATGGTGGTAGTATTTTATCACTTGTGGAAGTTGATGGAATTGCTTCTGTTTTACAAAGAGGTCGACGTGCTAAAGCATCACGAACTAAAAATTTAGCAGTTTGGGCTACAAAAGAAATTCGAAAATTAAAAAATGCAACTAATTCAACGGCTTCTTCTGTTTCCAATTCAAGTTTACCACATACAGCTACAACTATTCAAGCTTCACCTTCAGGATAAAAAAAATGTAAATATTTTATTTTCAAATGAGTTGTGTTTAGTAATTCGTACTTGATTTTTCTTTAATTAACCTTTTTTTCATATAACCTTTTTGTTTTATTTGTCACTATCCTCCCCCTCCCCAAACAATCGTTCTTTATTTCTTTAATTAAACACATAAATATTGATACAAAGGGGCATCAGATATATATGCGTCACACAAATCTCACTCGACTTGTGTGAGGGCTGTTATACTGTCCAGGTGCCGAAACAGGTGGTTTTCTTAGGGGGCCACACCCGGTGCCCTTGACCGAAACATCTGATTCACAAGGCAGTGGAGCATCGTGAGGAAATGCAGCCCCATGGTAGCTGGTAACCGATGATTGGTTCATATGCCATTTGTTCCCTCAAGATACTGGAGTCCATTTGCAACATTGGTTTGGAATCAGGGTTTTCCAACTCCCCTAGGTGGACTCGCCGTGCCCACCAACCCGGTTAAAGCTCCGGACATTCCGTTTTCGTCCTCTCAATTTCGTAAACAGCACCTGTGTCACGAGAAGTCAGTGAGTATGACTTCTGTGGCAGAGGCTATGTATTCGCTGGCCATGTGAGAGTATTTCGAGGAGAGCTGACTCTCCTCACTCTCGGCCGTACCAGAGCATTTGGGGGCATCGTTCTTTACATAATCTAGTTTATTCGTACCATCAATATGTTCAATTGTGTTTAATAAAGATTTTAAAAATCTCTTACTCTCTGCCATATACAACAGTGATTAAAAACTAAGAAATTGCAATCAGTTATATCAAAGTACGGATGTAATCTATATTTTACTATAAAATCTTGAAATCATTATTGATTATTCTTTCTTCTGGAATGAGTAAATCCTCTAACAGCTAAAAAGATATTCTACTCAACTGAAACCATTTTCTGATGCCCGGATCGACATCTTGTTGATCTGTACTGTTAACGTTCGTTTTGAACAAGACAAATTAGCATACGATAAATATTTCGATCATCTTTTATTTAGTATCAGCCGAATCATGACTCGATGTTACGTAAAACCACCAATGGCTTGGGATTCCAGAGTGTTATTCATCTTTTGACAAATGATCAATGGTTATTAGTAAATAATTAAACCACCAAATCCAGCTCGATATTTTGGCTTAGTATACTTTTGGTTATTGTTTCTGTGCTTGTATATATTGGACTTGATTATGTGTACCACGATTACTATGAGATTCAGTAACATAACACAACGACAAGCAGTTGAATTGAAGAAACGAAAAAAAAGTATTTATGCCGTCAACCCAAATGTTGAAGTAGTATATATGTGTTATTATTTATGAGAGGGACAAAATATGACCTTGTAAGCACAGGTGGCTAGCAGTGGAATCCAGTTTGACGCGCGTTCCGTCCTATTTAGGACTCGTCAACTGGATATACCTGTATCTCAGAGTTGATGTTCACTCTGACACTCGAACCCAGTCCCTTTCGCTTCGAACGCCATCGCGTTATCTACTCAGCTACTGAGTCTTGATAACCACCTGCTTCTTCAATGGGGTGAAGTTTAAATTCACTTAGTATTACTTGTTTGAATCTTTCCATTAATGTTTTTAGGACTGCAACTGGTCAGTCTCTTAACATCAATGAGAAGATTCCAACAAGTAATACTAAGTGAATCTAAAATATGACCTTGTTTTTGTATCAATTAGTTAAATAACTGATTTCGAGTGATCTCCATCAGTTGTAGATTTAAAACAAGTCGAAACTGGTCACATTCTTGTAGTATAAGGTGTATTTGTCAAGATTTATAATAATATGACCGCTTGTTTGCTTAATTACATGTTTTAATATTTGATTTGTTTTAATTGAATTTCAGGTTCAGTTCAAATGACCCTCTATTTCCAATGAACAGCTTATCCTTATGATTTGTACATTCTGCGAAAATTAAGAAAAAACAACACTACCTTTTAATTGTCTTTTCCTTATTAATATGCTTCTTCCTGTCACAAATGCACACACACACATATATACATTACAAAGAGTTTCCCTAATTCTGTCTTTTATAATCAAATATATACATATTATATTAGATTTTGTTATATTTAGTCCAACTATTCGATATAACAGCGAATGACTAACAGTTTCTTGTTGGGTTTTAAAACAGATAAAAAATTATACTCAAAGATGGATAGTAGTGGCTAGCAGTTGAATCCAGGATGCGCGTTTCGTCCCATTTCGGACTCGTCAGCTAGATGTACTTGCATCTCAGTTGTTGTATTCTTATTAAAATAAGGTAGTATTTACTCATATGTGCCAATGAATTCACATTAATATTTATAAAATAATCGAGTTTAAGAAAGATACATCATATTAGTACCTAGGACATCTTTGACATGTAGATTATGAGATAGTGGAGAAGATTTGTAGCTCATGTGAATGATTTTGATGGAGTTTTGTTCTCTGATCAAACCAGCTTTAAAAACAAAACTCCATCAAAAACATGTAGATTATCAACAGATGTCAGACAGTTTTGATACAATCGGATAAATAATGCGGAAGTATAACTTTAGAGATCATCGTAAGGAGGATTATTAAATTTTCCATTCTGTAATTAGTATGCACCTAGACCGTTGCATTTTTTATATTCCTTACTTTTAGGCGTTTGATCCATATATTTTAGGATTTCGAATTTATCATTAATTAACTGTTACTCTGGTTTGCATTACTTATTACCGGGATTTGTATAGATAGTAATTACTTAACTGCGTTGCTGTGTGGTCAGACATTTCAAGTATATTACTGGTGGATGGGTTATGAGTCATCACTGAGTTATGTTATTCTAAACAGCACGTCTAATCTTCCAGTCAGCGACAACGTAGGACCAGGTGCATATATGCATCGGTCCAAGTTGCCATATCTCATCAGCACAACAAGATGAACACCGAATTCATAGATGTAGTTCATTTAATTATGGTAATATATAAAGAATGATTTTATGTAAAGATATAGTACAGGAATAAATAGAGATAAGAAGCGATTTTAATCTCATAGTTTAGGGGAATATAAAGAGTGTATACACTTGCGCCATTGTGATCGATTCTGAGCCATGTCATAGTTACGATAGTCACGCGAACCCAAACCAAGTAGTCTGCATCTACCAACAAGGCTCAGGACAGAAACGTCTAATCCTTACAAAACGTGTGCGCCCAAAACGTCTTGATGCTGCAAAACATTTTGCAATTTACGTTAAAAACCCTGATCTATGTTATTCAGTTCATTTCTTTGATACAATAAAGGCAACCACTGATTCCTCAGTGACGGTTCACATCAATTGAAGTCAGTCCGTAATGGAACCTTTTCTAGGAATATCGGTGACGTATTTGACTTTTCGATTGATTCATTATTACACATAACCCGCGGGAAATGGTTGGCGTCATTATGTAGACTTGTTATCAAGTGAAAAACCGTCAATCCAGAATTTATTTATTTAAACACAAATATTGGTATAAGGGGGCACCAGATATATATGCGTCACACAAATCTCACTCGACTTGTGTGAGGGCTGTTATACTGTCCAGGTGCCGAAACAGGTGGTTTTCTTAGGGGGCCACACCCGGTGCCCTTGACCGAAACATCTGATTCACAAGGCAGTGGAGCATCGTGAGGAAATGCAGCCCCATGGTAGCTGGTAACCGATGATTGGTTCATATGCCATTTGTTCCCTCAAGATACTGGAGCCCATGTGCACCATTGGTTTGGAATGAGGGTTTTCCAACTCCCCTAGATGGACTTGCCGTGTCCACCAACCCCGTTAAAGCGCCGGACATTCCGTTTTCGTCCTCTCAATTTCGTAAACAGCACCTGTGTCACGAGAAGTCAGTGAGTAGAACTTCCCTGGCAGAGGCTTTATACGTGTGGCTATGTGGGAGCATTTCGAGAAGGAGAGCTGACTCTCCTCACTCTCGGCCGTATCAAGGCATTTGGAGGCCAATCCAGATTATAAGAAATATTTCACATCTACATAATGCCAAATCATCTTATACTGCTTGGTCTTACCCCATAACTTATGCTACCAAATAGAATAAAATGATTACTCTCTGAACTTTATTATAAGTGATGTATATTTTTAAAGGCTTATAGTATTAATGTACATGAAGAATTTGAAAATGTAGCATAATAAGCATGTAAGTCACCAGAATAACTAACACGACAATACTACACATTTCGATAATATAAATAAAGAGAGAAACAAAAATGAGTTCAATATACAAATACCAATGTAACATAGAATAATAATAACCATAATCATCATTTCCTTGGTTTGACACGATCACGTTGTCGTGTATTATTTTTACGTGAATTACTTAATCCATAGGTTGTTGATGATTGATTAGTAAGTTTTGTTGATGAATCATGCTGGTGATGATGATGATTGGTACCTGAGATAGATTTAACTGATTGTTTACGATTACCAACAAGTGGATGAACCTTGAAGAAAAATTTTAGAAGGAAGAAAACAGAGTTGTAAATGGTGCAATAACAAATCCAGTTGTTTTCAATGGGCATAAGTTATCTCTAGCTAAGAAGGAAGTCATTTGATTGGAAGATAACTGAAGTTTGTACTCACGATTTTTTCAGGTTCTAGAATATGGGGATAATGACACCGGAGTATAGTTGACTTTAAGACGGAGAGGTTCTGAAGAGGAATTTCCCACGTAAAGGCGTACTAAATTCGTATATAATCACTCAAATCGAAACTTACTAGTCAAGTAAGTGTCTAGTGAATTTTCAACCTCAAATAGTGTTCTTCAGGGTCGCCTACTATATCCCTTTCATCTGATTACGTTATAAACGTTCTCCTGGAAAACTCTCATTATTTAGTCTTTTACAGATTGATTTCCTATCAGGAAGTACACTTATCGACTTGGAATACACAGATGACATAGTCCTATTTGGTGACAACGCAGATTTTCTTAAACACATTGAGGAGGTCTGGAATGTGTTTCTCTTTCTCTAAATGCGGAATATTGCTTCATGATTAGTCTGAGTCCATCAATTTGTTTACCTTACAAATCACATCAGCCCTAATGAGTTAGTGCGTTTGACGGAACATCGTCACGGATTTAAAGATCTCGTTTAGCGTTTGAAACTTAGATCACTTGTGGCAGAGGCGAGATTCCACTCTGCCATGATGTGGTCTGGTTTGATTGTATATAAACCAAGTATGTCTGAAATATGTGATTCATACAGTGGAATCTGAGATTTGTGTTCTGGACTCAAACAGACTGAGCTAGGCAAGAACGACCAATAAGGACTCAGAGTTGACTCTTGGCTGCCCGTAGTGGTTTATGCATCATTGGTTTGAAACAGTACTAAGATTGTTTAAGTCGTATTCCGATTAGCGGATAAATCGCGTGATAATTAGCCGGGCTAAAAATCAAAACAGAGAGCACCGACCAAATCACACTTGATGGAGAAACCTTGGAAGATGTGAAATCCCATAGTAGGATGAAATAGCTGTTCAGTGCTCTTCGGTTCTGAATGGATTTTTAGACTAGGTAGATTCGTGATATTAATAGCAATCATCAATAACTGTCACAAACACCTATACTAGTAGTGAATATGTAAATCGGCTCTTACATGTTAGCATTAAATCAATTAAAGAAAGTCTAGTCAATAATTAATCCTACCTCATCGCTTTGTGCACCGGGTAAATGAATTGACACTGTCGGTGGTATAGATTGATTTTGATCTAATGATTTTGAATGTTTCGATAATGGTCCATTAGATTGCATAGATGGAGAATCAGGACGTTTTCTATTTGATAAACCAGTTGCTGGTCGTTCAGAATTCTGTGTACTGACAGATTCTTCTCCACCGGATAAATCATCTGGATTATCCACTTCTGGAGAAATGGATAAATACATTAGAATATCTTCACATTCTTCGTCTTCATCACTGAAATCATAAATACAATAATTCAAATGATGATTTGTATAAATCATTGATGTGATAAAACAAATGCTTGATTAAATAGAATGATTATCACAACGGTTTTTGTGTGGGAAATTCATTTTTAAAAAAACCACTTATACAGAATAGTATCACAATACAACAAAATTAGCCAGCATCCGCATTTAACACTTAATTATGTCACCGCTATTAGCTCCATCTTAAGAAAAGCCAACTTGTCCTTGTTGAGAGAATTCTCTCAATCAATAAAGTATGTATACACATCTGAATTAATTTTGTATTTGTCTAGTCCTTTTCGGTGAATGAGTTGAAACGAACAAGTTGCAATGCAGGCACTGATCTAATTGGCTCGATAAGTCAGTTGAAGATAAAATAGCTTAGTGGTAACACCTCAGATTGTGAAACTAGGTGACGGAAGCCTAAACCTCCTAACAAGGTAGTCTGAGTCAACCAACAGCCAATAACTTCATGGAATGATATGATATTATGGTTTGGTAGTCAAACTATCTTTATACCAGTAAGCATCTTGAGTTAAGGTTGGCAGTGGTTTGGCATATCCCAACCACCTCAGTTGATGAATGCTCACTACCTTATCAACCGATTTGCCATCTCTACCTAGTACCCTACGTCTAAATTCAAAAAAATTTCACTCGATGGTTTCAACACTATGTTGTGAATTGCGAATCTCAGCATCCATGGATTGGATTTTTTTTACAAAAACAGCTATTATGGGACTCCTTAGCAGTGAGCATCCATGATCCTGCACTCGTGAGATTTGAACCCATTTCTATATTGTAATTTAAATATTTTATAACAATGGATTTTTTTCCGGCAACGGATTCAAAATAGGAAATCGAAACAGAATGTTGTCTCCAAAATACGAATAAAAAGGGAAGGTGACTATTTTCGACTAACAGTTGATATAGGTACCTTAGATAAAAGCTTACTGTAATCGATTACACTACATCAGTACTACCTAAGTCTACTCGATTTCAAAGGATTGATAGAACACCAATCACATTTATAATGGAAAAAAGAGTACATCATCATAACAGTAGACAAACAGAGCGTACATAGATTGGATAATGGCTAGTTGCCCGCAAATACCCTCGTACGGCCGATAGGGAGAGATCGCTTTCCCTCTCGAAATGTTCTCACATAGCCAAGTGTGTATAGTCATTGCCAGGGATGCCTCACTCACTATCTCACTGCAGGGGTGTTTACAAAATCAATAGAACGAAAAGCGAGGGTCCGGCGCTTAAACTGAGTTGGTGGCTATGGTGGATCCACCTAGGGAAGATAAAGGATCCTGATTCCAAATCAATAGTGTACATGGGTTACAGTATCCTGACGGAACAAATGGCGTATGAACTTATTCTTGGTTATTGAGCTTTCATAGGATCGCATTTCTTAACGTTGCTGCACTACCTTTTGGGTTAGAGGATGGCTCCCTATGAGAACCAATTGTTTCAGTTTGGATACTCGAGCAATATTTCAGCCCACGCAAAAGCTCAATGATTTATTGTGTGGCACATATATATTTTGGTGCCTCTTTGTACCAATATTTGTGTTCATATAAAATAAATAATTAGATATGGACAGTTGAAAAAAACCAAGACGTTTATTTTCCACCAAATGCCCTGGTACGGCCGAAAGTGAGGAGAGTCAGCTCTCCCTCTCTAAATGCTCTCACATGGCCACACGTATATAGCCTCTTCCAAGAAAGTTCTACTCATTGCCTTCTTGTGCCACAGGTGTTGTTTACGAAATTGAGAGGACGAAAAGCAAATGTCCGGAGCTTTAACCGGGTTCGTGGACACGGAAAGTCCATTTAGGGTAGTTGGAAAACCCTCTTCCAAACCAATCGTGCACATGGGCTGGCTCCAGTATCCTGAAGGAACAAATGGTGTATGAATCAATCGTTGGTCACCAGCTACCATGGGACTGCATCTCTTTACAATGCTCCACTGCCTTGTGGATCAGATCTTTTGGTCAAAGGCTCTGGGTGTGGCCCCCTAAGAAAACCACCTGCTTCGGCCTGGGCACCCGGGCAGTATCACAGCCCTTACACAAATCAAAAGAGATTTGTGCGGCGCATATATGCCTGGTTCCCACTTGTACCGATATTTATATGTTTAAATAAATAAATAAATATTTAGTTTAACTTCACATTTCACTGTCAATATTCTTCTCTCATACACACGACCAAATGCAGATGAAGACAGCAAATGTAGCAGCAGCCTCCGCATCGATAGGCCTCCACATTCACAAAGGAAAAAGCAAGATTCTCAAATGCAACACGGAGAACACCGACCCAATCACACTTGATGGCGAAACTCTGGAAGAGGTGGAAACATTCAAGTACCTGGGGAGCATCGTTGATAAACAAGGAGGATCGGATGCAGATGTAAAGGCAAGGATTGGCAAAGCAAGGGCAGCATTTCTACAATTGAAGAACATATGGAACTCAAAACAACTCTCAACCAATTTCAAGGTCAGAATCTTTAATACGAACGTCAAGACAGTCCTACTGTATGGAGCTGAAACGTGGAGAACTACTACGGCCATCATCAGGAAGGTACAAGTATTTATAAACAGTTGTCTACGCAAAATACTCAACATCCATTGGCCGGATACTATCAGCAACAGCGTTTTATGGGAGAGGACAAACCAGCTTCCAGCTGAAGAGGAAATTAGGAAAAGACGTTGGAAGTGGATCGGACATACATTAAGGAAATCACCAATGTGCATCACGACTCAATCCCTAACTTGGAATCCGGAAGGGAAGCGGAAAAGAGGAAGGCCAAAGAACACACTACGCCGGGAAATAGAAGCCGATATGAAAAGGATGAATAGCAACTGGAAAGAACTGGAAAGGAAGGCTCAGGACAGAGTTGGATGGAGAATGCTGGTGAGCGGCCTATGCTCCTCGACGAGGGGTAACAGGCGTAAGTAGTAGTAGTATACACATGGAATAACCATATACAAATATTGAATGATTCGATCATTATAACCAATAGAGAGTAAAGATTATTTAATCAATAATACTGTTTTACCTGCTTAGTAAAGCTTGTACTGGTTCCATAGTTTCAATATCGATTTCTACATCTTCTTCTTCATCATTATCTAAGATGTTAGTAGGAAAAAAAAAATTTATGAATTAAAGACAAAAATATTTTAGTTTTTTTAAAATTTCAAAACATGTTGATACAATCTAATAGCTTAATACATGTAACCAGTAAACTACGAAAATGAAAACAATCCAGTACACACAGAAAGAGAGCTATGTAAATAGGATTATGTAATTACTGTTAAACTCATAAATCCATTGGAAATATTGTGAAGTTAATTGTTATATAGCAAATTAATTAAAAGAAATAAGAATTAAAATTAAATATGAAATCAGCTTTTTTTTTAAAAAACGAAATGATATCAGTTAAAGAATCGATTTTTTGATAGTTGACATCATGAATCAATTAAAGCTAAATCACCATGGAAAACCTGAAAGAACTGGACGGCTGTTTCGTCCTATCATGGGACTCCTCAGTGGCAATGCGCATCCACGATCCCGCCCCAAGAGATTCGAACCCAGGATTTATCAGTTTCGCAAGCCAGCACTTAACCACTAGACCAGTGAGCCGGCCGGCATCCAATGGTGTTAATGTCTAACTTCAACCAATCCACGAAATTGAGCGACACATCTACCAATGTCTTCAGTGAGTTATTATTTCACAACAGACCTGGTTGAACTTCACTGGTCACCACTTCTCACTAGAATTTAAGGAAATACCTCTTAGAGTCAGTCACTAGTGAGTATATGTTGATTATTATCAGAAGGGGGGTTTTGTGGATATTATAATAATACAACTTGTTAGTTGATCACTAATTTATTAAACTACTTTTATTTACTTTTATAATTTATTTATAAACTAAAGTTAATTAGACCATTGAATGCACCTTATGTATTACAATTTATTTTGGTGTTTGACACATTGATTGTCAAAAACAAGTCATAGATACTGTCATAACTTGTGAGTGCGTGCGTGCCCTGTTTGATATATGAACGTGATGATTCCCGTCAATGAGAGAAGAGCGAATTATCGATTGGGACAGTGACACACGAAAACCGTACAAGCAGTCTAGAATACTTATCAGTCCTGCTATCTGCCTAGATCAATCAGTTAAGTCCAGAATACCAATAACAGCTTATGCAATATGAATCATTATTTCCAAACATACTGAGTTTATATATCAATCAAACAGACCATATCATACCATAAAATGGGAAACAACATTTGTACAAGATTTAGCCAGAAGTGGCTGTGAATGTGGGGAACAGTAATTAATAAACTTAGGATAACTCAAGAACGGTAAATCGTATAGTAATACTCTATGGGTCAAAATGAAGCTTGTAATAAGAGGGACACGAATATGAATAGTTTAGTTACTTAACAATTATACAATAGGAAATATACGCATCATATTAGTCCATAAATAGTTCTCAATAGTTACCATTCATAATTCTCCACAGGATACAAAAGATACACACAAAGAAAATCGAATACAAAGGAATAATAACAAAAAAAAGGAAAGAACACAATATGACAGAACACCAAAAGTTGGGGAACTCATCTCTCTATAAAGGCGTAACCAGTGAGAATGTAAAATAAGTTACATAAAATTCTTTCAAAGTGAATAAGAAATGTAGTGTATGGAGTTAGGAGATTAATAAATGATAACACAAACCAATAGTATAAACATATTCAAAATTCAAAACTTAGTGGCATCTAGAGTAAGGAACGATAAGTACATTAGACACCTATCATTAACTAATATCAAATACAATGAAATCCCGAAGTTCGTGCTGATGATGTCGTTCAGAAGGACGATGAAAGCTCCACGATCAAACCATCCAACTTAGAGAACAAACCTACATCCAAATCACCCACCTGAGCTACAAATCTTCTCCACCATCTCACAATGAAATCCGCATCCTTTATTTCGTTTATGATTGCTATCATGAATATAATCTACTTATAAATTGCGGTCAATGTCGATGTATCCGTTGGAGATAAAAAAAAAACGGGGATTAATCGAATTCACTGCTAATTATTCACAACGAGGAAATAGAAGTCGTTACAATACATAATAAAGAGAGGTGATGTAACGTGTAAACCACTGGGCCATCGGGTAGTAAATTCAAACCCTCTTTCTCTTATTTTGTGTAACTAGGTCGTATTGCTAGCTCATATACAGACTGTATAGACTTCAAGTAAACTAGATCCTTGTTAATTTCATATTTTTGGCTAAAACTAATCGTGTAGTGTACCTAAACACACTAAACAATAAAACATTAAAAAATCTGAGAAGAAATATTTTTTTGGAAGAGATATACTTCTAGGGTTGATTAGTTAGATACTCTAAGTGAATAAGATGAAACTATTACAGACTAAAGCTGAATAAATGAACTTATACCTGCCAAATGAGTTACTATGATAAATCTAATTCATAAAAAAGTTTTCTGAAAATTATTATTTCACAAGAAAACTAAATAGTTAATCAACTTAAAAACAATTTCTAGATACGGTAAGCAAAGGTGGATAAAAGCTAGCAGTGTAATCCAGTCTGACGCGCGTTTCGTCTTATTTGGGACTCGTCAGCTAGATGTACCTGCATCTCAAAGTTGATGTTCATTCTGGGACTCGAACCCAGTACCTTTCGCTTCCACTACTAGCCACTATCTATCTTTGCTTACCATGATTGTGAATTAAGGCTATATCGAGGCAATACGCACAGTATGCACATATGCCAATTAGAGACTGACCAGTTGCAGTCCTAAAAACATCAATGGGAAGATCCAAACAAACAATACTAAGTAAATTTCAATTTCTAGATATGATTAAGAAAAATTCAAACTGAGTTGTAGACTGAAACTTTAAAAATTGGTACAAAGGGTACCAGATATATATGCGCCTCACAGATTTCATTCGATTTGTGTGAGGGCTGTGATACTGCCCAGGTGCCCAAACTGAAGCAGGTGGTTTCCTTAAGGGGGCCACAACCGGAGCCTTTGACATAAATGTCTGATCCACAAAGCAGTGGAGCATCGTAAGGAGATGCATTCCCATGGTAGCCGGTGACAAACGATTGATTCATACACCATTTGTTCCTTCAGGATACTGGAGTCAGCCCATGTGCACCAATGGTTTGGAATGAGGGTTTTCCAACTCCCCTGGGTAAACTTTTCGTGTCCACTAACCCAGTTAAAGCGCCGAACATTCGCTTTTCGTCCTCTCAATTTCGTAAACAACAGTAGTGTCACGAGAAGACAGTGAGTAGGACTTCCCTAGCAGAGGCTATATACACGTGCCCTTATCAATGATCATGAAAGATCAACAAATGGAACTATTCACCTTTTGTTTTTTTTTTATATTAATTATCACTTCAAATGAATAAAAAAAATAAAACATCAATAGCGAAAACCGAAGCAAACTATAATGTCATTATATATCTATTATTGATGTTAGGTAGGTTAATAGGTTAGGAACAATGGTAATGGTTAATAAGTTAAGAACAATAGTAATGGTTAAATAGTAGGAAAGCGCATAAAGCATTATTATTGTATATATTAGATGATAGGGGACCGGAAAACAAAAGAGAAAAAAAAAACAACTCACAACATTTTGTATGTAATGATTTCAAAGAAATTGCGTCTGTAAAAAAAGCTCAATCTTATAACAAATTGTTGATGATGATCATGATTATGATGATTATAGTGAGCATAATATTATGATCGGAAAATGATATCCTTCGGTTAATTAAATCAAAATTTGAATGATTTTCTGTTTAGTGAGGAAAGTATACTTATGAAATCAGATGTTAGAATTGCACTAGTCCATCAAATAAATATATGAATTAAGATCATAAAAGTCAGTCAAATACAACGTACAACCAGGCACATTTATGCATCGGTACAAGTTGCCATACCTCGTTAGCACAAAAAGATGAACACCGAATTCATAGAAGTAGTTCATTTAATGGTGGCAATATATAAAAGAAAGGTTGTATATAAAGATATAGTATAGGAAGACAGATATGAGGCAATTTCAATCTTATAGTTTAAGGGGAGACAGAGAGTGTATGCACCTACGTCATTGTGATCGATTCTGAGCCATGTCACACACAGTCTCCAACCATTGGTTACGATAGCCACTCGGACCCCAACCAAGTAGTCTGCATCTACCAACATGGCTCAGACTAGAAGTTAGTGAATTCAAGCTCTGATACCACATTTTGGTTTGGCCACCCCCAACTCTATTTCAACCATCCCAAATACTAGTCAGCATAGTGTGTCATGGGAATCGGTGGTTGGGCTCATCAACTGATTTACCATCATTCCCTTATACCTTGTGTCTAACCTCACTATTACTTACCCGGTGATCCCAGCAAATGTGAGCAATATTTCTAAGACATCTGTGGTCAAATACTAATAATTTACGAGTATCTACTACTCTTAATGGCCACGTTTCGCAGCCGTAAAGTAGAACAGAGCGAACTGCTGTGCAGTATACTTAGGTCATAAAAAACTTATTTTGTAAAAGTGACGGGTATATTAGTCTTAATCCTTTTAAAATGCTACTCACCTATAGAAACATATATTGTTTCATCACTATTTCTACTGTTTAAAACATACCTGGAAGTCAAGCTCTTTAGCTGTCTTATAATTGTGCCACGTCTTACTAGAATCCCGTGCACAGATTTAGGCCGAATTCAGTTCATCATCTGAACAACGGACTGGGTATGGAACAGCACAAGAGACCATGCACGTTCAGTGTATTCATCAACACAAGAGTTCAGCAGCTGCCTTGGTCTTTCTATATTTCCGCAATCTTCATTAAGTTGATACACTTAAGAAGGGCGATTACCTTTGATGTATTGTGTTCTTAAATTTCTTAACATTCAAATGACGTGGACACACGTATCATATATCCTAGTCACATGTTATCCCACAGTGCAATGGTGATTAGTATAAGGGAAGGGAAAAATATAGAAGTAAACAAATCAAGACGTATCGTCAGCTGATAAAGTCAATAAGCGTTAATCTGAGATATGTTGAAAGGTTTACACTTCCTGGTTGCCGTTCGTACGATAATCAAAGTTAGTGGCTGGAAATCTTAGGCTTAAAATCGGTATCAATGATGAAGATGCATTGTTTTTTTTTCTAGAATTCGAGTTTTAGTATTATTCCATACATTTTATTTTTGATTTTATCTGTTCCCTCCAAAATACACTCTGACTGACTTCGCCATCATTGATCTAGCTCAGCTGTTTTAATTTTTACTACTGTGATAATTTATGTGTGACAATTTGGGATGGTATACATTTTTAGTGTTTGTTGGAGGGGGATGAAGTTTTTAACAAGCTCCACTTTGCTTATAACTATTTAACTAAGGATACTTTTTTCATACTATCGTTGATGAGTCGGGAGAAAATTAGACCTATTATTGGGGGAATTTTAATTCATTGTCGACTGCTCGAACTACGAACAGCATATTCTTCAGTCGATCATGACATTTAATCATGTCTATTTTGTATTTTGTTTTTCAGCATAAGAATATTATTTTAATAGAGAACAGATCTGTTCACCGGACAACTTGCGTTTTGTCCCTTTATATTAGTTCATTTGGGGACTTAGGTCAACAGCTCGGTCTCGTGAACAGTTATTCCTCGGCTACACCATATCACTGAGTATTAATTACTAGTTGGTATTTTATTCATTCATTCAATTCATGAAACCTGTTCTATAAAACAAAATTATTTACTAGTTTGTAAGTACGTCCTCCCGATCATTGTCGAGTAACAACACCTATTCACACAAAGAATTGTCTTAATTGAATCAACTATATAGAAACGTAATAAATTCAGTGTTATGATTGCAGTTTTGAACCCTACTACGGTTTCGGTAACCGAGTAGTATCACTAGCCATCATACTTTAAGTTCGGCTTGAAGTCACTTACACCAAATGGTACCTAGTAAACGAATTAATAATAATAATAAGGTTGTGATCACGCATACAGATCCACTTACTTTTATTCTCTTCAATCATTTTATCTTCATCTTCAACATCGAATTCCGATTCTCTTTCTTCATATTCCACATTTTCATCGAGTTCTTTAAAGTCTGGGGCGAAAGCTGACCAGTTTTGCTGAGCGTAAAAATTTAGTTTGAAAAGATTTGACAAATAAAGATTTCGTTTTTCGATCCTTAATAGATTATGAAATACAAAAGAATAACCAGCTGATGATCCTTGTTTGTTAGCTTGTTCATTTTACCACAGTATCCGACAAGAAATAGATAATTGATCGTTATTATTAGCTGGATATCCAATAAGAATTAGGGAGTGTTATGTAGATTGTTTCATTCTACCTTAGGGATCCATCTTAAAGTCCGAGTGTTCTATTCTAGATGAAGTTATAGGTGCACACACTATTGAAAAGCCTCAAACTAACAACATGAATGTCCGTAAGGTTAACTGGATTATAGTCAGTAGTGACTGTACCCTACTTGTTTGAATTATTTCATATATATCATTTTCTGGCTTTCTAACTTATTTTTACGTAGTGACGACAGTTCAAACAATGTAGAAGATGAGTCCCATTCAAAACTGACTAATACTAACACACAAACTTCCCAAACTCAAACCCGCAACCGGCTACTGAATAAGAAGACTAAGTGTAGAGAAGGAAGTTTATCGGGCTAAACCAGCCAACATGCGTAAGCATATATATATACCTTAGAAAATAAAACCATGTCTTGGCCAATAACATGCGCTAGTCATTAGCAAATCTTCGACTGGTACAATATGGCCTCCTCACTTGGTGACTCTTGATTGGCCCACTTTATTACCTTCCCCTCCTGAAAAAAACGTTCAGTTTATTTTGCACTCACCACGTCTGTCCTGACTAACCGTATACATAAAGTAACCCAGTTGCAGGGAGTTCTTTAACTGAATTCAGCCCTCGATATCGTTTGTGGTTCACATGTCATGTCAGAAATTTTCCTTGAACATCAATTTCGGAAATCACGTCAATAACTCTTCTTATAACAACGCCCACCACTCAGATGGCCCTTACTGTTTCTTAGATATACTGATAACCCGTCTGGGAATCAACGTTCAGTTTACCTTGCTTCAGGTTTATAGTTTTGCTTTATTTCGTGTAGATACATTGCATCAGAAGTTAGTTTTTTTCCCGAACACTAGTTGATCGACGGTGATACCCTTGAGCGAGGCTGAGTTCGGGGTTTTTCTGCATGATCACGAGAAATCATGGACGATCTTACTTCATCATGCTGCCCCTTGTGGTTTGATGAGGGTACGCTCGAAAATGTCAACAAAACGCTCAGCTTGACCTCCTGATTGAGGGTAACAGGGTGGTGATCGAATTATCTGTAATCGCTTTCTTTAAACAGAAGTCCGAGATTTCCAACGTTGTCTGTAACCAGTGTTCCCGAGAAAACAAGTTGCCTCAAAAGTTTATTCAGCATCGTGATTATTGATGTCGATGAGGTTTGATGAATTAAGCAAACCTCTGACCATTTTGTCAATAAGTCAACGATAACGAGGAAGTGTCGACCATTTATTGGTCAAAGACATGTACTTGCTCATTAGAATTTTCATTGACCCATTGTATCAGAATTATTGACCTTTACATAATCCGCACAACTTGTATGTCGATAGGAAACAAAAAACTGTTGGTGAATTAATTATAAGTATAATAAAATAAGACACTAAACAAGCATGGTAAGCAGAGATGGATAGCGGCTAGCAGTGGAATCCAGTCTGACGCGCATTTCATCCTATTTGGGACTCGTCAGCTGGATGTACCTGCATCTTAGAGTTGATGTTCACTCTGGGACTCGAACCCAGTACCTTCGCTTCAAACGCCATCGCGTCATCCACTTCGCCACTGAGTCCTGATAGCCACTTGCTTGTGCGATGGGGTGAGTTTTAAATTCATTTAGTATAGGACGAAACGCGCGTCCTGGATTCCACTGCTAGCCACTGTCCATCTCTGCTTACCATGCCTGTGAATTAAGGTTATATCGAGGCGATACGCACAGTATGCACATATGCCAATTAGAGACTGGCCAGTTGCAGTCCTAACACATCGATGGGGAGATTCAAACAAAAAATATTAAATGAATTTAAGACACTAAACAAGATAACAATAATAATAATCATAAAATCACTAACCACTTGTGTTTGAGCCCATATAGATACTTGTTCTTTAGTTACTGAATTCGATATAGAAACAATAATAGGTCGTAAAGGATGCCAAACAACATCTAATAATGTTTCACCTTTTTGACCATGTAAAATTTTTACTAATGTTCCACTAGCCCGTTCCCATAAATAAATAGAATGTTGTTTCATTGAACCAGCACAAATATATTCACCATCACCAGAGAAACAACATTTTCTCCAATGACTCCTATTTATATTTGTAATTATGTTTTTTTAAATAAAAATAGAAGAGATAGAAAGAAAGAAGTGAATTATGTTTATTTATTTATTTAAACACATACATATTGGTACAAAAGAGCACCAGATACATATGCGCCACACAGAATAATGAGAATGGGAGGAGAAAGGGGGAAGATACGTATATATATAAAAAAAGAGAAGAGTAACGATGGGGGAAACTGAAATGTACAACCGGGAGAACTCTCTCAGCTAAGAAAGTTAGAACCACTATTTATGAAGAAAGTAAAAGACGGTTGCAGCAGGATCGCCACTGGCTTCTATTCTGAGCCATATCTGATAAAGTCTCTAGCCACTGTGTTGCACCATCTATCGGACCCCAGTCAGGGAGTCGTGAAGGACCAACAGAAGCTAGCCCTTTGCAGCTTTCTTTCATATCACGACACCATGTAATACATTGACCACCTCTCCGCTTTTTCCAACCAGACCCAGCGTCGGCAAATAATGCACAACGTGGAATTCTTTGAGACGAAGTGAATTATGAAAGTTTTTGTAGGCACATCGACGAAGTTAAATTCGTTTAAACGTTGATAAGATTCCCTGAATATTATCATGTCTTTTAATAAGTAAATAAATCTACATACAAGTGACCAATGATATTTGAATGGGTACAAAGAATTTGTAATATTAAACCCTATCCATGTCCAAATTTTAAGTTAACTATAATTTTTAACTTTGTATTCCTCTGTAAATATACGCGCGAAACTGGTAGGTCCTGGGTTCGAATCTCGCGAGTGCAGAATCGTGGATGCGCACTGCTGAATAGTCCCACAATAGGACGAAACAGCCGTCCAGTACTTCCAGGTTTTCCATGGTTGTTTAGTTTCAATTGACTCACGCTTTCAACTATGAAAATACTAAATCTCCACAAAACCCCTTCTGATAAATATACTTACCTTTAGAAAAATCTATTTTCAGAAGGGAGTCTTGTAAAGATTTTACTAATTTTTTTTATATAATTGAGATCATGAGTCAACTGAAGCTAGACCACGATGGAAAACCTGGAAGCACTGGACGGCCCTTTCGTCCTATTGTGGGGCTCCTCAGCAGTGCGCAGCCACGATCCCGTCTCGCGAGATTCGGACCCAGCACCTGTCAGTCTCGCGTGCGAGCACTTAACTGGTTTTTCATAATGGTCTAGCTTCAAATGACTCATGATCTCAACTATATAAAAAATCTATTTATTATATCTAAATTAGTCGATGTTATCACCTACTTTATGCTCCTCTCACTTTATTAAATTCACCTCATTGTCCTAACGTAATGTCTGGCAATCTGAACTGATACATACTCATACACAAGGTACAACAGTGATAATGACTGATTGATGTAGCAGGATAGGTATGGGTGAAACTGTAGGGGAAAAGTCAGTGAGCAGAAAGTCGACTACACTGTCAACTTTGATTTTCAATCCGATTTTCTTGTATGTTGACTACCTGTAATTTTTGTCAATAAACTACTGTTTATGTGGTGTATGCTACTTATGTTGACAGATATAAGTAGTAAGTAACGCCCACAGGAAGTGGAATGCATGCCAGCAGAAAATTGAGAAGATTCAATTGAAGAGAACAGAAAATAATTATAATAACAACAGAATTGAGAGAATCAGGAATCACATAAAGGACAATTGATGGAAGATGTGCAAATGATATATTTAATGTATGGTTTTCATATTTTACTAAGGCACTCTATAATTTTACACAAAAAAATAAATTTGTCTTCACCCATTTGAGTGTTCATTCACTACACTTAATCTGATATGGTTCTTAATAGTTGATTGAACTTTACAGATTTGAGTTCATGTGATCTACCATAGCAACCAACTGGTCTACCGTATCAATCGAGTGCCCCAGTCTAGTAATGAGTCTAACTATCTAGTGATCAAGTCCTATTGGTCCTACAGTTCGTATTACTTATCTATTATTTAATGTCAGTAGATTCCTAATTTTTTCCCTTTATATCAGGAAAAAATAACAATTTATCAACATTTACATCCTGGAGTTGTACGCATCACTTATGTCTATCTGGATATTCTTAAAGGTATCTTACATTCAAACTGCAGAGTCATATTATTCAATAGAGCCAAGTAGGCTGAAAAGAGTAATATTATTAAGAAGGATGTAGTACTGAAAAGTCCCAAACGAGGTATTCAAGTTATTCTTCAGTTGATGTTAATCCACCAAAATCTAATTTCAAAATTCAACGTCTTTATAAAGTCTCTTTCTTAAAAAGAACATGACATTATCTACTACTCAATGATTAATCAATTACAAATATTTCAATCCTAAAAGTCAGTTGCACCCCAAACAGTTCAGTAGTGATATTATAGAAACTGTTAGGCAGAGTGACACTCATTTTAATACATTAGAAAGCACCAGTTCCCTCAATATTGAAGGCATGAAACCTACATCATGCAAGGTTTTCTGTCACTACCTCCGACCACCTAACATCTTGATAGAGTACATGCGATGCTGTCACTTAGCCAAGTGGCCATAATTCAACCTGGTCGATAGAATTCGATCGAAAGACATGACATTTACAAATACTTAGTGACCAATCAGTTACAACTGATATTTACAATAATGAAAAAAGAACACATTTTAAATTCATCACAAGAAAAGCATTGGATTACCCAGTTACAAGATCTTTCAGTTTTTTTATCGGCTCCGGATCCGTAACATTTGCGTTCAATGCATCTTCACAGTTATACACTCGAATAACTCGATCAGCACAATTAAGTAGGAAATATCTAAAATTTTATACATAACACAGAGTCTTTTAAAAAATCATAAATTCATGAAATGATAAAGATTGCGGCTTTTCATGACATTGCATTCTTATAGCTAGATGGCTTAATCAAGTCCGGTTTAGAGAATACAAACTTACCAAAATTACTATCTGTAATGTATACTTCATCTGACAACCATAGAGTACTACTGTGGTGTGGGTTACTTATATCTACATAAGTAGTATATAGTGATGGTCAGACAGAATGTATTTTGGCAGAAGATCGATAAGGAAAGAACAGGAACGAAGCACAATCGGTATAAAAATGCATAAGTAATGAAATCAGAGAAAATGGACTGATATTTGCAGATGGAACAGTCAAGATTGAGACAATTGATTGTGATTTTGCAAATTAACCGTTAACTGTATGATTATCAGATTTTAATGAGACAGTCTGTAATTTGTGCTTAAATACATTCGATTGTCCCCACCCATGTTCTTGTTCGCTACACTAATAACGTTGAATACTGTAGAGAAATAACGTAGACAAATTTCTATTCTCATCATCAGTCAAAACCAACCAACAAAAGAAAAGTAAAATCATAAGGACAAGGTTTATTAGACTTCTTCAAGAAGACTGGTTAGGTATACAGTAACCGAATTCGAATATATTTACAATGCTCTTGGGACCAGTATGATAAAATAACTCACAGAAACATCAAAATCAAATAAATAGTTAAAAATATAAGTACATTAGTGTTAGCGGGAAATAAACCAGATTAAGGGATGTTATGTACATGATCGTAACGGCGCATGCTGATTGGCTAATTCTAAACCAATCATCTCTGGCAGATTATTGGGGAAGCATCTAGAATCTTCTTATGCATATACTATAAATATATGAACGCTTTTCTAACGATTGATTGTTGTTCACCTACCCTTTTTATTTTGAATACAATTTCGTTCCTGTTCAACGTGTTCTGATTTTTGGGGTCTTGTCGAGTGTCATTGTATAAGAATACTAAGCAATAGGAGTAGCTGGGTCGTAATAAGGAGTATATATAACAGTTATAACAGTAAGAGAAAAAAAATAGCTAACAAATAAAAAGAGCAGTTTGAGACAGGTATCTTTCGATTCATCATAAATCCATGGTTGAGGTTCTAGAGATGATGCGACTCAGTAGCATGAGAAGTTACCAGAGATGGATTAAAATAGAAGCTAGTAAAGATTCCAATGTAGTTATCTTTTACAGTTTATATGAAATGGACAGGAACCTCCTTAGCTTAATAAATTCTTTCTTAGTTGTAGTATTAACTTAAGTGTATCTCCTATCACACACTACATATTCATTTATTATTTTGTGATTGTACTTCCATCCTCACCCTTTATCTTTTCACAATGTTATCTTCTTATCTTATGTAATATACACTTTCCCTGGTGATCATTTGTACCAGAATTTAAATGCATCCAATAAATAAATATGTTGACTGTAATATACACACAAAACAAGAATTTGAACTTACTCCCCACGTCTAGCGAATTCTATCGATTTAATGGCAGCGTTCGCTGCTGATGTCGATTTAAATGAGCTGATCAACTGGAAATCTTTCGTTTCATATATACAAACCTATATTTAGGAAATGAATGAATTTTTACGATTCAATACTAAACATATTTAAAAAGCTTTTTAAATTACAGATCGAGAAAATAAAATTATTATTAATATTAGATTACTTAATAACTGAATGATGAGATTCCTCAGCATTGCGCATCCACGACATTGGTGAAATGGTCGCTCAACTTCGTGGATTGGTTGAAGTTAGACATTAACACCGTTGGATGCCAGCCGTCTCAGTGGTCTGTCGGTTAGGTGCTCGTGTGCAAGACTGACAGGTCCTGGGTTCGAACCCCGAGAGGCGGGATCGTGGATGCGCACTGTTGAGGAGTCCCACAATGGGACGAAACGACCTTCCAGTGCTTCCAGGTTTTCCATGGTTGTCTAGCTTCAAATGACTCATGATTTCAAATACATATAAAAATTACTAAAAATCTGCACAAGAAGCCCAACTGAATGATGAATAAATTTTGGAAAATATTTTTTATCAAGATATGATTGTTCATTAAGATTACGAAATGCTGTTAGTCTACTTTTTCATTATTTAAACACATAAATATTGGTACAAAAAGGCATCAGATATATATGCGTCACACATCTCATTTGATTTGTGTGAGGGCTGTGATACTACCTGGGTGACAAACCGAAACAGATGGTTTTCTTAGGGGGCCACACCCAGAGCCTTTGACCTAAAGGCTTAATCCACAAGGCAGTGGAGCATCGTGAAGAGATGCAGTTCCATGGTAGCCGGTGACAAACGATTGATTCATACACTTTTTGTTCCCTCGGGATACTGGAGTCCATGTGCACCATTGTTTTGGAATCAGGGCTTTCCAACTCCCCTAGGTGAACTTTCCGTGTCCACCAACCCGGTTAAAGCGCTGGAAATTCACTTTTCGTCCTCTCAATTTCGTAAACAACAGTAATACCACGAGAAGGCAGTGAGTGTGACTTCCCTGGCAGAGGCTATATACGCGTGGTCATGTGAGAGCATTTCGAGAGGGAGAGCGGACTCTGCCCACTCTCGGCCGTACCAGGACATTCGGGGGCAAGATTCAACATAATAGTAGTATCAATTATGGTGAGAAAAATTAAATATCAGAAAATAGCGTTCGAAAAGAATAGATAAAAAGTACGAAATAACATTAAAGCTCAGGAATTAGTGCAAGACAAAGGTTGAATGGATCTGTATTGCTGTGAGTGATTCTGAGAAATGCCATCCATCTCCAACCACTGATGGTAGTCACTGCGTGAACCCCAACCAGATAGTATGCATCTAGAAGCATAACTCAATCCAACAGCCAATGACTTCATAAAGTGATGTCACGTCTTGGTTTCACGACCGATAACTTTCCTCTAAACTATTCCTATTCCAATCAACATTTTGCGTCAATATAGGTGGTGTTTGGGCACATATAACACATATTCAAGCTGTCACAGTCGACAAATATTCACAACCTTATCAGTTGATTTGCTACATTTTCCACAATACGTGAGAAATGTTTCAAAAACACATGATCAACACGACGTTCATATTTATTTATCTATTTGATTTCTTAGTGTAATAGACGGAACGTCAAAATTTCCTGGTGTTCTAACCTTATTAAAACTCAGGTTTCACATAGTTTTGTAGTCGTTTATTGATAGGTTTGTTAAGAGTAACATTTAAACAACGAAAACAATGAAAGAGTTATACGTTATTACACCAACATAAGTTATCACAGGTTGAACAGCAAGGTATTACGAAGATCAATAAACTACAAAAAAAACAAATATGTAGTAAATACCAGAAAGTAACTTTGAAAACGCAGGTAAGACAGCGTTTCCATAGTAAAGTTACGTAAAAAGTTCCTAAAGATATACTAACCCCTGGGTATTCTATAACCTAGCTGTTTAGTAAAAATTCTGTTGAGGTAATTTTGAAAAATAATTATGGATTTGAACCTCAAAGTCTTAAACAAATTAAGAGTTCCTACGTCATTGATAGAATATCTACTAAAACGAACTGTCGACTTATTAAATATCCGAAATTCGAGCATTTGAGAAGATAATGAGGGAAAATGACAAGTACTCATGAAATGAAGAAAAATTATTATAAAAAAATCGTCCCACTTACTTTGCCTTTTGAGTTCCCAGTATAAATATAACGACCACGACGATCATATGATGCAACAATACTAAGGTCATTCTAAAAAAATAAATAACGATACATTAAGCGCTGAGCTATACCAACTGTATAACGGTCAACGATATTGCCAGATCGCAAAAGCTTTGATAGATGTACTATGGCGAAACGTTGCTACGAAACCGATATTAGTCAAATAATTAAACCGATACTTGAGAACAAGAAAACTGGTGTCTTAATAAACTGAGTTCCACGACATTATGAGTCCTAATACAGAAGTCCTGATGGACTAGCAGATACCAGTTCTGTACACTGAGAAACCAGCCATAGGACCTGTACATGTGACTGAGGAAACTGCTCTTTAGTTGATCACTAAAATCAAACCTAGTAAGATATTGGGCCCTGATGGGTTACATCCACGACTGCTGTCATCCCTCGCAGACATAATTTCAAGATCACTCGCGACGCTCTTCAGCATGTCTCTTCTCCACACTCAACTCCCTAGAAATTGGAAAGATGCTATAGTCAGTCCTATATTAATAGACGATGAGAGACAGATCGTACCTAACAACCGACCTGTCAGTCTAACCAGCTAAATCCGGATTAAGTTACTAAGTCAGATTCGTACAATCTGTTAACTCCCGAGCAACACAGGTTTCGAAATAAGCATTCATGCCCAACCAACTTATTGCAAGAGAGGATTAGACGGCAGCCCTAGATAACGGTCTGTCTGTCGATGTGATATTCATAGACTTTGGCAAAGCGTTTGACAGGGTTTCTCACTTTGGTTTTATGCAGCTGTCAAGCTTCAGAATAACAGGCGCTGTATATGAATGGATAGGAAACCTCTTATAGTGCAGAAGACAGTGACGGTCAGTCAGTCAGCTACAATGTAGGACCAGGCACATATGTGTATCGACCGTTGCTGCTACCTTGACGTGGTGGTCGGGCCTGTCTATCGTGATGAACCAATCGAGCTATACTGGCTGGAACAATCGTTCTTCAAGGTCCTACCATGCCAGACAGGTCGGTTGAAGAGCGGTGAGAATAAAAGCAGCAATCCCAAGGCCCGAAGGCGAAGTCGTACTGCTGACTGTACAGAGGTGTGAAAGCAGTAAGGTGTTTCCTTCAGACAACCAGCATGACAGCGATGCTGCCTTCCCACAAGGAGGGGTGGGGCTAGAAAAGGTCGACCCTAAAAATGCACACCTCGCCTTACCCCACGGATATCCGTCTCCATCGGTAAGGTCCCAACAAGTACGGAGCTAACACAAAAAGGTCGTGTGTGACCGACCTCAAGCAGTTGTCCCTTGGGCACTGTGGTCACGCTCTCAAGTCATTATGACCACTTCTGACCCAATTTCCTTTTCAGGTACCCCTAGAAGACAGTGAGGGTAAATGGGACGCTATCTGAATGGAAGCCAGTCAAAAGTAGTGTGCCCCACGGCACCATTTTAGGTCCCAAGTGCAAAGTACTCCTACAAGACTGGCAGGATTCTCATCCTGTACTCACCCTGGATGGTGAGCAGATTGAAGTAGTTGAGAAGTTCGTTTATCTAGGTAGCTATATAAGTGCTGGTGGTGGCGTGAGTGATGAGATTGATGCACGTATAATGAAAGCCAGAGCGGCTTACGCCAATCTGGGCCGTCTTTGGCGCCTTCGTGATGTTAGTCTGGCTGTAAAAGGTCGGATCTACAACGCGTCGGTGAGAGCAGTTTTGCTCTATGCTTGTGAAACCTGGCCTCTCCGAGTTGAGGATGTTAGACGTCTCTCTGTGTTCGATCATCGTTGTCTCCGAAGGATTGCTGACATCCAGTGGCAACACCATGTTAGTAATGCAGAGGTTCGGCATCGTGTGTTCGGGCGCAGAGACGATAATTCAATTGGTGTCACCATCTTGAAACACCGACTTCGGTGGCTTGGACATGTTTTACGAATGTCGTCCCAGAGACTTCCACGTCGTGCATTATTTGCCGACCCTGGGACTGGTTGGAAAAAGCGGAGAAGAGGTCAATGTATGACATGGTGTCGTGGCATGAAAGAAAGCTGCAAAGGGCTAGCTTCTGTTGGTCCTTCACGACTAACTGGTTGGGGTCCGAGAGATGGTGCAACACAGTGGCCAGAGACGTTATCAGATATGGCTCAGAATAGAAGCCAGTGGCGATCCTGCTGCAACCTTCTTTTACTTTCTACATAAAGAATGGTTCTAACTTTCCTAACTGAAAGAGTTTTCTGGTTGTACATTTCAGTCCGCTTTATCTTTTCATCCCTTCTCTTCCTACTTTCATTATTTTGTGTGGCGCATATGTACCTGGTGCCCTTTTGTACCAATATATATGTGTTTAAATAAATAAATTTTAGGTCCCCTACTTTTCCTTCCCAACGCCGATGAATTACAGCGACTGCTCAAATCGTCGATATTATTGTTTGCGGATGTCGTCAAAATCTGGAGAACAATAAGTAAGGTCGATCATTTTGATCTCCAAGCTAACCTAGACTAATTAGTTAGATGGTCTCAATGTTTTGGCTTAGAAGTTAGTTCTAGTAAGAGTGTGCTCATGCACATAGGACACGGTAATAGTTAGCAGTATACTATTGATGGTACATTTCTTCCATGCGTTAAGAAGCATAGACTTAGGAGTAATAATAAGTCACTACTTGAAAACAACTACGCATTGCAACGCAGCTGCTGTCAAAGGGTTTCGTGCATTATCGTCACTTCGTCGAGCATTTAAATGCATTAGAGAGATGTTTCGAGTTTTATATACCGCCTATTTAAGACCACACTTGGAGTACTGTATCCAAGCAGCTGGTTCATGTCTAATTAAGGTTACTGACTCAGTTGAACGTGTTCATTGTGTGGGAACAAAACTGGTGAAAGGAACCTCCAAACTCCCTTATGATAAGCCCTTAAAACGCCCAATCAGTGAACATTTTTAAGGAACTGGATCTTCACTGTAAGGCGAACTGTCAAGATTAACACAGGTTCACCAACCTACTATCCTTATTACAGAAGACTGACTAAACACTTAAAACATGTCTGACATCAAAATCGGCGACTCAAGATATTTGCATTGTTTAGATGATTATCGAAGCATTTGAAACATTACCAGACCTTAAGATTACTAACATGGTGTCGTTTCCTTTCTTAAGTTCGTTGAGTCACAACATAAATGATTGTTTCACCTGACGTAAAAGACGTGATACACCATATAGTCAATTATGCAATAAGAATTACTCAAGTTTTTTTCATTTGGGCCAATGAGCTGTTTTGTAATCTATGTAGAGAAATAAAACATACTTTTAGCTTAAACGGCAGTTTTTTTAATAAACTATTTCACTCATTGGATTATAGGAAAAGTGAAATAATGATTAATCTACCAAATCCCAATAGTACTTGAATAAGTCGGTAACTGTTTGAATAAAAATCTTGAGTGAGACAGCGACCACCTACTGATCGATTTCAAAGCCTAGTCAACACGTCATGAGAACGGATAAGAATGTGACAAAAATTATCCTGAAACTAACTTCATCTTCCGGTTGTATGATAGTTGGAGCACCACTTGGAATATTAATAACTACTGGGGCATGTCTCATCGGACAAACAAGCAGTTGGTCTGGTTTTCTTGCATTGAATTGAACCTTCATCACAGGACAAGGAAATTGGAATGTTTGCTCACAAGCACTCGATAGTACATTCCAGATAGAGACTGTATTGTCAGTGGAAGCACTAAGAAGCCTTTTGCTGTCTCTACTCCAACTAGATAAATTGGAATATTGTATAGGTTATAATTTACCTTAGGGAACAAACTGGATGTGCATGTGCTACCAGGACTTTGGAAATACGTCTTGTGACATGGTCCCAGATTTCTATCCTCCCATCATTGCATCCAATAGCTAAGAGACTCCCAACTCTATTGAACTGCAATGTTATTGCATAAGTGGCACAGCCAGCGTCTTTACTTCCATCATCTTTTTTAATTCGTTCTAGGTAACCATCTGCAGCCTGGAAAATAAAGATCGAACTATTTTCTCACCTCTGGGTAATTCTGATGAAACGCTTCTACAAAATAAAGTGTGAGGAATCGTAAAGTGTCAGCCTTACCTAAAAGCTCTAAATTCATTACAAAAGTAACGTACGAGTCGAATTGCTGCGTGATATATAACTCTTCAGTCAGTCTTCAGTAATAAGGATAGGAGGTCTAGTGACCTATTTTAATCCTTGCAGTTTGTTGCACTGTGGAGGTCCAATCTCGTCTTGAATATATCAACAGAAGGTGCTGATATTAAGTGTTCTGGTAGAGAATTCGAGTTCAAATAGTTCAAATGGTTGAGGACGGAATAGAAGAAGCTTTCGCTTAACGGGCTTCCGTTTCTGGTAGCAGTGGATCACCAATACCTCCAGGCAAGAACCTAGGTACATGAACGATAATAGAGGGAAAAAAAGAATTTGGTAAATCATAACCGCAAGGCTCGATCGGTCTCCAGCGCGAAAAATGACCCAATCTCCCAAGTCGTCCTGACTCTTCCGGAATCCCACAGTACGCCTGACGCGAATGTGGTTACCACTCCAAAGAACGTTGGCGATTGGGTACGGGTCGTAAGAAAAAAACGCCAAAATAACGTAAAAGGAAATCATACCCCCCACCAAAAGGGTCGACAAGCCGAGGTCTGATCACAGTGACAGATCAGTCATTCTCCATAGAGTCAAGGAGAGTGACAACTTAGAACCGAAAGCTCGTTTTGAGCATGACATTGTGTTGATAAAACAACTACTCAACCAAGTTATGCCCAAAAACATCCCCGGAGTCACCTTGCTAAAGGTGTATAGACTAGGAAACCTAGCGCATCTGAAACCAAGTCAGTCTAGACTACTCAAAGTCGTTTTCAAATCCTCAAACGAACGCGACTTAATCTTACAAAATGGACACAAATTAAAGGGTTCAGGAGTTTTTCTCCGTAAGGACTTACCGTTGGCGGACCGTGTTAAAAGACGGGAAGCCGAAAAGGAACTACAGCTCAGATTAGACGCTGGCGAAAAATTTACAATTTTCAGGTTGTGAGGCTTCGACAGAGGATGATGCCGAAGCCACTCTGGGTGAAGCACGAGGCCACCTAAATAGGCTTCGGATCTGTTATACCAACGCCCGGAGCTTACTAAATAAGCTACCGGAACTAGGTGTACAGATTGACTCAACTAGGCCAGACATAATCGCAGTCACAGAGACATGGCTGACGCCGTCTATAGATAGTAGGGAACTTGATTTCGAGGGTTTTACATTGGTAAGGGCCGATAGAATACAAACGCGTAAAGGAGGAGGAGTAGCTCTATTCATTAGGAATGCTATTCCATTCACCATTATCGACAGTGCATCCCATGAGAGTGGGACGTATGAATTAGTTTGCTGCCGCCTGAAATGCAGGGGACAAGAGTTGCTACTTAGTTTGATCTATCGCAGTCCAAGCTGTGAGGCAAACGAGGTCCTGCTAAGCAGTCTCAACACTTTATCACGAAGTGATCGATATCTAATCATAGGGGACTTTAATGCACCCATGGTGGGCTGGGGAAGTCTGCGGACTGAATCGTCAGCAAACTCCTTCGAACAGGAACTAGTTGATGCGGTAATCACATGTGCCCTAGTGCAACACGTGAAGGAAGCAACTAGGTACGAACCGGGTTCTGCATCATCCTTACTAGATCTTATCTTGACTCATTATGAGGATGATGTTGCAAACCTGGATTACATGCCACCCCTAGGCAAAAGTGATCATGCAGTTTTAAGCTTTGACTCCCATATAACTGTCGATCACGAGTACGCTTCAGCTCAATCCAGACCTAACGTCTGGAAAGCAAACATACCAGACATCATGAAATCAGCATCATCAGTAGATTGGAAAATAGACCCAGAGTCATCAATCGAAACGGCTTGGGACGTATTCCGGAATTTATACTTAAAAGTTACCACCCCCCACATCCCTTGGACTACACCTAAGAGACCGAGAAACTCCCCACCGTGGTTCAGTAGGGAGGTTCGCATCCTTCTCCGTAAAAGAAGGAAAATGTGGGACAGATTTAGGTTACTGGGGGCTGACGAGGCAAAATCTCAGTATCAAAAGGCTCGAAATACCTGTGCCTCGACCCTCCGTAAGGCCAGAAAGCTGTACGAAGAGAAAATCGTTAGAGAATCCATAGAATGCCCTAAACGCTTGTATTCGTATATAAACCAAAGGACAAAAAGAAGAAGAAATGTTCCTTCACTATGGGGAGACAGTACTGCCACACCACTAGTGGAGGATGACTTTGGCAAAGCTCAAGTATTCTCTAAATACTTTAGCGATCTATACACCATAGAAACACCCTTCTCACCAGTCCATGAAAATCCACCCACACAAGCACTGGACAGCGTAACCATTAAAGAACTCGATGTCTTTGGTCTGCTAGTTAAGCTTGATATAGGTAAATCCACTGGACCCGATGAACTGCATCCTAGGTTACTAAAGGAATTAGCTAATTTTGTTGCGAACCCTTTAAGTGTATGTTTTAATCTATCCGTAACCCAGGGTCGTCTACCAAAAGACTGGAAGAACGCCATAGTAAGTCCAGTCTTCAAAACAGGTTCAAAACATAAGCCTGAGAATTACAGACCAATTAGCCTAACTAGTGTGGTTGTTAAAATCTTAGAAAAGATTATTCGGAAGGAGCTGTTAAAGTATCTCGATAAAAACCGGATCCTCTCCGAAAAGCAGCATGGTTTTAGAACAGGTTACTCTTGTCTCACAAACTTATTAGTCGCTCATGAAAGCTGGTGCGCTCTTAAGGACCAAAAATTACCTATAGACGTAGCTTACATCGATTTCAGCAAAGCTTTTGACAAAGTTCCGCATAACCGGCTGTTATATAAGCTAAGGAATGTCGGGATTGGAGGCAATCTATTGATGTGGATAAAGGACTTCCTAGTTGGGCGTCAACGAAGAGTAAGCGTGAACTCCAAATTGTCTAGCTGGGAAACTGTGCTTAGTGGAGTCCCCCAGGGTACAGTTTTGGGGCCAGTGTTATTCCTACTGTACGTAAATGATCTCCCTCGTCTACTATCGTCATCGGTCTTACTCTATGCTGATGATGTCAAGATATGGAGAGCGATACAAAGCAAGGGCGATAGCTTAGAACTTCAAAATGACCTGGAGAGATTATCTGAATGGTCCCAAACCTGGCAATTGCCGATAAACACTTCCAAGTGTATTGTGATGCATTTTGGCCACCAGGGTACAGATACATACACGATGAATAACACTGAGTTACCTATTGTTCAGGCACACAACGACTTAGGCGTCATCGTCAGACAAGACTTAAAAACCACTGCACACTTCCGTGCAATAGCCGCCAAAGGTTTTAGGACTTTATGGTCCATACGCAGGGTTTTTAGGCATCTTGACGCTAAAACGTTTCTGACTTTGTATACAGTGTTCGTACGCCCTAAACTTGAGTACTGTATACAAGCAGCTAGCCCCTGCCTAAAAAAAGACAGTGAACTCTTGGAAAGGGTTCAGAGAACAGCAACTAGGCTGATTCCCGGAATAGCGAAGCTCCCGTATGGTACTAGACTGACCAAGCTAAACCTATTCCCGCTGTCATATAGAAGAATCAGAGGTGACTTGATTATAGTTTTCAAATTGCTAAATGACAAATTTGCACCTGATATGCCCTCATTTTTCTTGTCTTCCAAAACAGAAAATCTACGAGGACACTCCAAAAAAGTTCACAAGCCCAGAACGAATTACTTGTCAGCTGACTACCGACTTTCCCATCGAATAATCAACGAGTGGAATTCATTACCTCAGCACGTGGTTGAGGCTCCATCCGTCGACTCCTTCAAAAGAAAGTCGGATCAACTGAGAGACCATCATTGCCAGGACTAACACAGGCCATCAAGCCTCCTGTCCTTTCCAAACTGAAACTGAAACTGATGATAATATGTTATCCTTAGTCCTTAAGAATAAGTCAAGTTTTCTCTTAAAGGACTCCTCGGAGGTCGCTTGGACTAGCTCAGTCGGTAGCGAATTCCAGCACTTGACAACTCTAACGGAGTAGAAGTTGTGTCTGCAATCTGTTCTGCTATGTAGGGTCTCCAATTTCTGGGTGTTACCTCTAAGGTTAGTGTTATGACTAAGCTTAAGAAGATGTTTAAGGGGATGACCAGAAGTATTAAGGATACTATAAGTCATAAGAAGATCACCTCTAAGACGCTTGTACTCTAACGGGTAAAGGTTAAGTGATTTGAGGCGTTCTTCATAAGGTTTGAATTTGAGACCCCGAACTGATTTCGTGGCTCGACGTTGTATACGTTCCAGAGTGACCTTATCCTTTTGGAGGGAGGGAGGAAATACTATGTTTCCGTACTCTAAGTGGGGACGAATAAAACTGCTGAAGATTATATGGAAGGTTCTACCGTCAAACTGGCCAAAAATGCGCTTCAATGTTACCAGTACAAGGTTTGCTTGAGAGGCGTTTTTGTCACAGTTCGCATACGATTTCAGGTCGTAGGGTACCAACACTCCTAAATCTTTTTCAACTTGGGAAACTTCTAGAGGTGAGTTACCTAAGTTATAACTATGGTCTGCAACATGTTTCAGATGGACTACCTTGCACTTTGAAGTGTTGAAAGTAAGTCCGTTGTCGTCTGCCCAACTTTGAAGTCGAGTCAGATCCTCCTGCAGAACTAGTGTATCATTGTGAGTACGTATCTCTCTCCAAAGTTTCACATCATCAGCAAAAAGCAATAAATCAGATGAAACTTGTTGAGGAAGATCGTTAATATAAATCAAGAAGAGAAGAGGTCCTAGTATTGAACCCTGGGGGACCCCACTAGGACATTCCATAGCCTGAGAGAGAGAGTGAAGTTAACCCTGACCTTAAAATGTCGGTTTTCTAGGTATGAAGTGATCCAGTCAATCAAAGGGGGTTTTATACCCAATCGTCCAAGCTTCTTGATAAGATATGCATGGTTGACCCTATCAAAAGCTTTTGAGAAGTCCAGGAAGATGACGTCAACCTTCCCCTTGCGATCAAGGATGGTTGTTCATCTATTCACCGCAGTCAGCAGGTTGGTCATACAAGAATGACCTTTTCTGAAACCATGCTGTTGAGGCGAGAAGAACTTTGAG